ACCTTCGACAGAGTAACCCGTGATGATGACACCGTTCCTCGGATCCGGGGCCCATCGCTCAAGCAGCTCACGTGATGTGCCTGACTGCATCATACCAGGTGAAGCCAGCATGACACAGCCTCCAAGGTCGTCAAAGCGCTCCAGGCTCTTGAGTGATCGAACGAATTTGAAGTCCCAAGCTCCCCGACGGCCTGTATCGCCTGCTGCTTCGGCCTCTGCCATGCGCTCAGCGAAGAGACGCTTGATGTTGTCGTTCATGGCTGAAACATATGTTTGGTAAACCTGCATACACTTTCGCGCCAGACTCGAGTTGTAATAGATGGGTATCTTCTGGACTTCTGGATGTTTGCTCCAGTACTCGTCCAAGATGAGCAAAAGTTCTTGTGCTCGTCCCAGGGCAAAAACTGGGAGCAGGGCTCGGCCACCGCGGTTGAGCACATCTGTAATGGCCTTCATGAGCTGTGCTTCTCGCTCAACACGTGGAGTGTGCATCGAGATACCAAATGTTGACTCAGTAATGAGAACATCAATCTTGACGCCAGGCGGTACAGAAGCAGACACCAAATGTCGGTCATCTTCTCGCGAGTAATCTCCAGTGAAGAGTATCTTCAAACCGGCAATCTCCATGAGGAACATTGCAGCACCAAGCACGTGACCTGCTGGATACGGTGTTATCCGTACACCAGACACGGTATGCGTAGTGTAGAAATCTATGGACTCGATCATGGGGTAGGTATTGAGATGATCGGCCTCAGTGTACATTTGGATCTTGGTCTCAGAGTTGCTCGACATGTTGCCAACACGGACCGAGTCTTGGATGAGCCACTTGTAGATTGCTTTGGTAGGATGTGTCATGAAGACGCGACCCTTGAAGTTTGTTTTGGCAAGGACGTATGGGAGAGAAGCTGCATGGTCGACGTGAAAACTAGCCTAATGTCAGCCTACTGAACGACGGCCAACAAGGACAAGGACAAGCTCGGAGAGTAGACGTAGAGGAGTAGCTAGATACAGGGGCGGAAAGCGGGGATTGGTACATCATTGAAGTCGAACGGGGAGGATGCAAATTATATTCCATTGATACTGATATACAAGTCGCTGAACTGCGAGTGCCCAATGTGCGCTCATGGTCCGACTCCAGTGATGCGCCGAACCCCAAGTCCCATAGCAAGCAAGATGTGCGTATACATACTGTGATATCAAGAGCACGTCTACAGTGCTAAGATCAAAGTCGTCGTAAAAGGGCATGGCGGACAAGCCCTCGTGGGCGGGGTGCATGCCGGCATCGAGCTGCGCCTTGTTAGCAGGGTCGCCTTGGGCTCCAAGTCTGTCTGCGCACCATGACCGTCTTGCCCTTGTACTGGATGATGTGACATGACCGCCCGACCTCGTTACCGCCTCCCAAGCAGAGGAACATGAGCTCGTCGGAGGGATCTATGGGGTCGTCGTCTTCGGGCGCCATTGCAGCTGCCTTTCTCTTTGCAGCCATGGTCGTGGCAGGTAGAGTCGAACAAGCGCGCTTTTTCTTGACGGACACGGGCGAGGCAAGAGGCGGGTACTACGAAAGATGGGGGGGAAGGTGAGTGCCAGAGAACGCGTCGAAGGTGCAACAAAGAGCGCTCTAGCTAAGCTTCATTAGTCAGATGGTCAGTGTCGACGTAGCAATCATGCGCCTCAGTAATGACAGGCGAGGGTGAAGGTAAAGCTGCTGCTACTGCCTGGTGTTGTTGCGCGTTTGGGTGAGAGTGAGGTGATGTTCCGTTGCGGCTGCGCTTTGTCGGGCGCGTCTGCCAAGCCCCAGTTAGTGCGCCTGCCACCGCTGGCGTAACTTCGTAACCTTGCTCCATCAAGACTCCCACAGGTATCGACGCGCCGACCGACACCACCCACCGCGACCGTCTACAGAAATCACGGCTCATCGCCAGCCTTGTCGCCCGCACAATTCGCCATCCCCGGATGACACGCGGATAGACGCTTCTCGCCTGCGCAACTCCCCACAGGGGACGAGCTGCCCACCATGTCCTACAACCAGCAGTATCCTCCGCCCCAGGGCCAGCAGCAGCAGCCGCGCGCATTCTCTCCGCAAAATTACCAGCACTCACCAACGGCCCTTTCCCCGACCATGGGCAGCGGCATTCCTCCCAACAAGCGGCAGCGCCTGTCGCCCAATCCACCATCGCCAGCACCCTACCAGTCGCCCTTCGGCATGCCTGGCGCGCCGGCATATCCCTCGTCACCCTACGCCAACTCCCCCCAGACACCCGGCTATCTATCGCTGCCAACATCACCCGCCGCGATGCAGCCCCCGCCCTTTCACCAGCCGCAGCCCTACCAGCAACCAAATGCGCATTCGCCCGCGCCACAGAGTTCTATGCCGCCGCCAAAGGTTCCGTACAGTAAGGCCACTGACAACTCGGAGCTGGAAAAGGCGAATGCGCGCGATTTGGACGTTAATAATATCAGTGATGTGCTCACCGGATCGGGTATCGACTTGCGCGCCGAGGAGGACAATCTGCTGCAGAACTATCGGAGCTTCACCTCGCAAGGCTCCGCATCTACAGTATCACCACACGGAAGTTTTAACAACTGGAATCAACAAGGCCATGGCGCATACCAAGGGACCGGTCCGCTCAGCCAGGAAATGACCAAGGAGCAGCAACAAGCCGAATTTATCAGGAAGCATGAACAGGCCGCTCGCATCCTGAATGAGTCGGCTCAACACCCCCTGAACGACCCCTTCCTGTCGGCAAGTGTGCTTCGGCACCGCATTGCAAAACGTGGATACGAGCACGGAATCCAGATCAATGTGGATGGCTTGTTCGACAAGATTCCTGACAAGGGCCAGCAAGAGATTACGCGTAGCACGCAGACCGGCGCAAACGGCGAGCAAATCATCGGTCTAGAGGCTGCCAGTCTGCTCAACCAGAATGCTCCGCTTGTGGAGATTCTGACATTAATAACTCTCGCTGCCGAGGAGCGTGTACGGACTCTTGTTGAAGATTCTTTTGCTCTGTGTCAAGGTCGCCAGAATACCTCCGATGGCGTCATTCCCCCTCAGATGGTTGATATCGCCGTTATAGATGAGAATGCCCAAGAAAAGATGGTCCGGCCTGTTAATATCTTGAAGACACCATGGGAAGCACCGGATAGCGCTGTCAGCCCCACAGCGACAGCAAACAAGGGTTGGTTTATTCTTCGAGTATCTAAAACAGCAGCTAACAGACATAGGCCTACCCAATGCGGCACGTTTGCCTACACCACCGAGCGAAGCGCCACCTACCCCCCAGCGGACATTTCAAAATATCAACCGCGTCGCCAATGCGCTCACCAAGCGCGTTCAAGACGACTACAAATGGGAACAAGAACGCCTTCGTAAGCGAGCAAAGCGACAAGCAGGTGTTTCCAGTACATCAGCAGATGCACCAGCGATACCAATACCGCTCCCGGAGCCAGTTACAAAGAAAGCCTTGGCAGCTGCGAAGAAGCAGAGCCAGTCAGATGTCGTTGTATTCGGCAAAGCCAACGAAACAGCCAGTATGGCCCTCGGCGGAAAAAAGAAGAAGTATTCATGGATGACTGGTGGAGGTGGAGGCGGAGGTGGCGGCGGTGGAAGCGCATCTGGCGCCTCAACACCACGACCCGTGGCAGCATCTGGCGGCAGCGGTACGGTAACACCGGCCGCCCAAGCGCCCGAGAAGGCCCTCATCGGCCGCAAACGCAAGTTCGGCGAGGCCATTGAGCAGACAGAGACGGGCGCTGGCATCCAACTTCGCGATCTCATTCACGTGCTCGAGAATGACGGCCGCGAAAAGAAGACACTTACGCTCATCTTGGCGCGCATGAAGAACACGGACAAGGATGTGAAGACGGAGGTTAATAGGAATCTGCCCCCCATCTCCACTAATGTACCTGGACGGGTATGAAGAAATTCAAGAAAGATTATTCTCTCCCGATTTTTTTTCGGGATCTTTTCATTATTCACTTGCATTCATCAGCGATGGCGTTCTCACATCCGGGTTGGGGTGGGAGGTTTAAATCGTGGAAGCTGACAAGGAGCAAAAAAGAAGTGTGCTTGCGTGCACGTGTATGTGCCTTTTTATCTTTCTTCTCTTTTCTCGTTTTGCACTATCCCAAGAGCTGGGATAAAACTTTTTCTTCTCAAATGGATCACGGAAAGGGGTTCATTAAGCTACCTTTTTCTGATCTTTTGGACGGCTGTGTACCCTTTTCAACAATGAAAGAAATGGTATGAATGTCTTGAATTGAATTATTGATATGAGCTTTTGTAATGTGGTGGAGGATCTGTCTTCTTTATCTTCCCAGATTATACGTGTCCATATTTTATTCCTCTAATTCCGGAAACCTAGAGTAGGGGGTTGGCGATGTTTATAGCCAAGAAGTAAATGTCAGAAAGCCCAGCGGGCTACAGTTGAAGTATAACTTGCGAAGACGAACTGAGAAATTAGTGGGAAACTGGAAAACAGGGGTTGGGGGCTAGCGGTTGAGTTGCAATTGTTTAAATCATGCATTGCATGTAATAACTTTTCACGTTTTTTAGCTATAGATGTACGCTATTGTTTACCCTAGACACGTTGCTATCGAGTCTGTCGTATTGGCAGAGTAAGCTCAGTAGTCAGAAATGGATTTCCTTAAAGATCTATTTTCGACCTTTCAGATGCTCAGCAAACCACACGGGCCAATGGTTCCATCCAACGGGTGATAGCGCCTTGGCACTCACCTAGGTTTATGTAGCTGCCTTTACCGGTACATGATAGAATCAACCTCTCAGACACTTCACTTGTCCACTATCTGGGCCACGTCGGTGCCTCCCTCCCTCGCACGACGCGATGTCGGACAATCCCGGTACCCTTATGGTCTAGCCGACGAAGCCCAGCCACGGCATTCATTTCTTCCTCCACAACACCACACACTGATTGCAAAAATACCTCACGACTACAATTACTCTCTTTACTGATCCTTTTTTCGTTATCAAAAACTTCATCATGGGTCAATATGACGAGCTTGGTCAGTCCGAGGCAGAGTTTGTCAAGATTACCAACACCAAGTTCAATCAGATCAATGGCCACACTACCTTGTGGACCGGCACCTTGAAAGAGACTGCCGATGCAGAAATCGCGGGTTTCAAGTCCAGCAGCTACTATGGCGATTACCAGATTGGTCCCGCAGAGCGCTCAGAGTTCCATGAACATGAGCGTCCCATTGCCATCTGTTTCTCTGGTACCGAGTCGGTCACAGACCTCTCAGACTCTTTCACTCTCACTGCACTTGACATCAACCCCGCCATTGCTCTCCTCAATGAGAAAGAGTATGAAAAATACCTGGCCGAGCTTCACAAGCGAAAGCAGAAGTTAGCTACGACAGCTCAGGGCGCAAAGTACTGTGATACATCAGTCTATTCTAATGTCGCTTGAAAGAAAAACCACGATCGAAACTGTCCGCAGAAGCACGCTAATCTTTGAAGGAGAACTAAAGACGTTGGAGACAAATGGGCTTGACCTGGACGCGCTCACTCTGAAGGATGCTGAACATGAGTACAGCTAAGTCAAGATGGCGGAATGGAATGGACACTGCCAATTCGACCGATCATTTTTTGGTCTTTAGCTTTTCTTGGGCGTCTCTTCGTTGCGTTCGAATTTCTGAGGGGCTTTGCGCGGATTTATACGGCCTGGTAACTCAAGGCCATGAAAATTAGTTATATGCTGCTGCACTTGAATACCGTTCATACTGCCTGACTGTGCGCACATGGATAGATAGCACGAGCAACTAACTGTCGCAAACGCATGCAAATGGTCCCGAAAGTGTGTGAGATGGCCCTCGCGAGTATAAACTTCAGCTCGCTCGTGGATGGGAAGAGAGGCATCGTGGAAACAAAAAGGATATAGTCGACCACACATGAGCTAGTCGTTCGTGTTCGTTGGCAAAATCTGGACCATCTCGACGGAACCTTCCACCTTGCAGATTTGCTTCACATGCACCAAAGAAGCATGTAAGTACTTTCTCACTAGCTGCATTGTTCTTGGTTATAGATCGAACGTGTCCTCGCATGTGTTCGCCTCGTCCTCTATCGGTGGTGAATGTCTCGCCGCAAACAACAAACTGGCCAAGTGTCTCCTTGTAACCACAGGTTTGGTATTGGCAAGGTTGATGTAGTGGCGCGAGTGTGTCCAGAAGAACTTGAGCTCATCAGTACTTTCACATTCCATGCATGTCCGCCTCTCTGGTCGGAAACTGGTCCCGTTCAAGTTCTGATTGCAACTGTCGCAACGGTAGCATAGCTCTTAGGACCGTATTGTCCTAGCGGACACTGGTTGTGGCTGGGGCGGACACCGCTCGATGCGCTTGGTGTCCTCGAATATATCCCGAGGTTAAGCTGCGTCCTACCTTTAGTACCTGCTACTAGCTGGGCTGTTAGAGTTCAATGTTCTATATAAATGATGTGAGGCGCGCCTGCAGCGCGCGCTCTTTATCTCCAGCAGCTCCTACGGACAACTGATTTTTCTTTTGACTCGTTTTCTGGCTGGCTGGTTAGGCAGGTGGACATTCCGGTGTTCCTTATTTGATTAGATGCTATCCAAGTAAAGAGATTCCCGATATCTTTGCCCGGATGTTGCATGCATTTGCGGAATGTATACTCCGTCGCCCTCCACAAACATATGCATCCACTCTACCTCTATTTTTGTCATGTCTTCCTAATTATTACAGATTTAGCTGCATATCAAGATCAGCCCTAGAGAGGTTTCGCACATGAAGAGATGCGATGTAATTCGTTCTAAGAAGCCCTGTACTAATTAGCTATGTTAAGATATTAGAGGTCTCTATTAGTAATAAAAGAATTCACTTTCACTTCACTTCACTTCACCTTCTTCTCTTAATAATAATCACACGTCACTAGGAGAAGGCTTAGTGAGGGTTATTTCAGGGTCGCTTCTACCTTTACTTAAAAGTAGCCTTGAAGTTCACATCCTTCTTATATCTTGCTACCACGCTCTCTCTTCTGGCTACTCTCTACCATAGTCTACCTAGCGCCAACGGCAACAGCTTATCGCAACAGCAATTTCCTACATCAAGTCAATACCAAGTCGACACTAACCCAACACCATGCCTGCTACCAAGAACGAGTCGAGTGAGACAGACGTGAGCGGTAAGAAGTGGACTGATGACGAGAAGGTAAGAAGGCTGCACCCATGCACACTAGCGCTAGCTGACAAGTCAATACATAGTTGGCGTACCTCGTTGTCCTGTGCGGGCATGAGGGCGGACTCAAAGCCAAGATCGATGTAAGAAGTGTGGCTAACATCTATGCGCTCACGTACTAACTCGATATTACAGAATGCGCCTAAGCTAGCTGGTCGGAGTGACATCGCTTGCAGGAGAATGATCGAGCGTCTTGAGGAGCAGTTCAAGCAGGAGATTGCTCGTATGAAGAAATCGAAGATTAGCAACGGCCAGACTACGAACAAGCGCAAGAACAAGAACGGCGATGACGAGGAGAATGGTTCTAACGAGGGCACGCCTAAGAAGAACAAGAATAAGAGCAGTGTTGGTGCCAAACTCTTGATTAAGGAGGAAATTCCTGAGGAGGAGATTCCTGAGTAGGTGACTCGGAGCTTGGGCAGGGCCTTGATGGATGAGGGCTTCTTACGCTACTTTGTCTCCTGTAGGGGTCTGATAAGTTGATTGCGATAGCCTCAACGAGAGGTGGGTGTTAATAGTGGGATGCGTCCATGTATGCAGAGACATCTAGCGGTCTTTGTTCTATTGAAAAGTAGCATGCTTGTTGCTTGTTCTGGCGATATGGAGTCGGGACTGCCAGAGGGCGCATGGTGGGATGGATCGATGAAAACAATGGAATAGTTAATGAATGAATGAATCAAGCATAGTGGAAGACGGGTGCAAGAGCGGTGATGCAGGGCGGATGCAGCATTAGGTAATACTGCATATGCTGAGTCATGGCGCAGCGGCGGGCGGCGAGCAGGGGGCGGATGCGCAAACTACGTACTACTTACTAGTAGCATGTCTTGTTGCATGCAGCCAGCGGCCATTCCGTCCTCACCGTCGCCTGCACTCCCTTGTGCGTGTGCTCTCTCCCGGTTTCCTCGTGTGCAATTGGCAGCAGTAGCAGCAGCACTGGCACTGTCTGGCCGCCTGAGTCCTTCGAGCCGTGCGTGCCGTGTGTCGTCTGCGTCCTCGTCGTCCGCCTCAGCGTCAGCCTCTGCAAACTGACCCCAGGCTGGCATGCTGCTTGGCCGAGTCTCTGTCGCCGCCTGCACAAAAACTCTCTGCGCAACCAGACGACCACCACTCGCTCTTTTTCACGCGCGCCCGCTTACCAGGCTGCCCAGTACTACTGTGCTCGCCTGCGCCCGCCGCCTGCTCCACCCACCGCCGCAAATGGACCACAATGGCTCCGTCAAGCGCAAGCAACCCCCAACTTCGCCCGCCACCGACCGCCCCCTCAAGCACATCAAGCCCGAACCCTCTGCACACGTGACAAACGGCCACGACGACACCATGGAAGATGCCCCCAGCGAATACAGCGCCGCCGACGACCTGCCGCCGTCTGCTCACGTTGCCGCTTCCGCCTCCGGACCCGACACGGCTGAGTGGCAGAAGACCATCGAGAACGTGGTTAAAAGCGTCGTCTCGATTCACTTTTGCCAGACATGCTCCTTTGACACAGATCCCGCCGTTAGCTCAGAGGCCACGGGCTTCGTCGTCGATGCCGAACAGGGCTATATCCTCACAAACAGACATGTCGTAGGCGCTGGGCCCTTTATCGGCTACTGCATCTTCGACAACCATGAGGAGTGCGACGTCTACCCCGTCTACCGCGATCCCGTCCACGACTTCGGTATCCTGCGCTTCGACCCCTCAAAGATTCGCTACATGCCCGTCACCGCCCTCAAGCTGCGCCCAGATAATGCAAAGGTCGGTGTTGAGATTCGCGTGGTCGGTAACGACGCTGGCGAGAAGCTGAGCATTCTGTCTGGTGTCATTAGCCGACTGGATCGCAACGCGCCCGAGTACGGCGAGGGCTACTCCGACTTCAACACAAACTACATACAGGCTGCCGCTGCCGCTAGCGGAGGTTCTTCGGGCAGTCCCGTAGTTGACCGCGACGGATATGCCGTTGCGCTGCAGGCGGGCGGACGTGCTGACGGTGCTGCGACCGACTACTTTCTGCCACTGGACCGTCCTCTGCGCGCGCTCGAGCTGATCCGCCAAGGCAAGCACGTCACCAGAGGCACTATCCAGACGCAGTGGATACTCAAGCCCTTCGACGAGTGTCGGCGACTGGGTCTCTCCGCTGAACTTGAAAAGGACATCCGCACTCAGTTCCCCAAAGAAACGGGCATGCTGGTTGCCGAGGTTGTCCTCCCCCAAGGCCCTGCATCGAACAAGGTCGAAGAGGGTGATCTCCTGCTCCGCGTCAACGGAGAGCTACTTACACAGTTTGTCCGTCTCGATGCAATCCTGGATGAACACGTGGGCCAAACCATTTCTGTGACCATTCAGCGTGCAGGAGAGAACATGGACGTTGAGATTGACGTCGGCGATCTCCATGCCATTACTCCCGACAAGTTTGTTTCTGTTGCAGGTGCTTCGTTCCACGACCTCTCGTATCAACAAGCTCGTCTCTACGCCATCTCACTCAAGGGCGCAGGTGTGTACGTGTGTGAGGCAGCTGGCTCATTCAGATTTGCCGATGGCTACACTTCTGGCTGGCTGATTCAAGAAGTTGACAATCAGCCAACACCAGATCTAGACACTTTCATTCAAGTCATGAAGAAGATCCCTGACCGCAAGCGAGTCGTCATGATGTACAAGCACCTGCGCGATCTGCACACTGCAAACACCAGCATTACTGCAATCGATAGGCATTGGCACGCAAAGATTCGGGTAGCAACTCGTAATGATACGACTGGCTTGTGGGACTTTAGCCCACTTGCCGATGCCATACCACCTGTGCCTCCAGTTCCACGTCGTGCCAACTTTGTCAAGATGAGCTCTAGTTATCCAGAGGCTGTAGACATTGTCCGCAGTTTTGTACGCGTGCACGTCTCCATGCCCATCAAGCTTGACGGCTTCCCCAAGTTGAACAAGCAGGGCTATGGTCTTGTGGTTGATGCCGACCAGGGTCTGGTCCTTGTTTCGAGAGCAATCCTGCCCTACGACCTGTGCGATATATCCTTGATCATCGCCGATAGCATTTTTGTTGATGCAAAGGTTGTCTTCATGCACCCGTTACAGAACTATGCCATTGTCAAGTACGATGCCTCGCTAGTCAATGCACCCGTGAAGACTCCCAAGTTCGCGACGGATTTCATCAAGAAGGGTGCTGAGACGATTTTCTTTGGTATCAACCAAAACTTCCGACCTGTTGTGGCTAAGACGGTTGTCACGGATATTACCACTGTTGCTATCCCGGCTAGTGCAATCACGCCGCGGTATCGCGCGACCAATTTTGATGCCATCACTGTAGACACGAACCAGGCTTCGCATAGTGGCTCTGGTGTGCTTATTGCCGAGGATGGCACTGTCCAGGCTCTCTGGCTTTCATACTTGGGTGAACGAACTTCGCATAGTGGCAAGGACGTCGAATACCATCTCGGTCTTGCGACACCCAACCTTCTTCCAGTACTCAACGAGATCCGAAGCGGCAAGACTCCAAAGCTTCGCATCTTGAACGTTGAATTCCAGACAGTCCAGATGAGCCAAGCCCGCGTCATGGGTGTTTCAGAGGAATGGATCGAAAAGACAGAAACAGCCGATCCAGAGCGCCATCAGCTGTTCATGGTCCGAAAGGTCGATTCGGGCCACAGCGACGGTCTTCATGAGGGTGACGTCCTCTTGACGCTCAACGGCAAGCTCGTAACCCGCTCTCCGGATCTTGATGTCATGTACAACAACGAAGTCCTTGACGCAGTCATTGTGCGCAAACGCGAAGAAAAGACCATCAAGGTCTCGACGGTCCCAACCGAGGACCTCGAGACTGACCGTCTGGTCAGCTTCTGTGGCGCCACCTTCCACCGTCCTCACCAAGCCGTGCGTCAGCAAATCAGCAAAATCCACTCAGACGTCTACATTTCCTCGCGGGCCCGTGGCTCACCAGCGTATATGTACGGGGTAAGTTTGCTGCCTTCTCATTCTCCATCTTCTTTTGCTAATCAGTATCAATAGCTCGCACCTACAAACTTCGTCACACACGTCAACAATGTCCCAACACCCAATCTCTCCGCCTTCCTTGTCGAAATTAAGAAAATCAAGGATAACGAGTATTTCCGTATGAAAGTCATGACCTTTGACAACGTCCCCTGGGTTGCTACCATGAAAAAGAACGAGCACTACTTCCCTACCATTGAGCACATCAAAGATCCATCGGAACCCCTGGGCTGGAAAAAGATTATTCACGAGTGTGACGTTGGAGGCGCAAGAGAGGAATTAGGACCGGATGAGCTAGAAGCGGATGCTGCTGAAGATTAGACAGACAGGTGTTTCGGTATAGACAACGCGGGGCTTGAAAGAAATTAATAACCACTGCTATTCATCTTAACGCACAGGAGGAGTCTGGGATCATCATTCCATGTAAATGTGTCTATTTACTGTACAAAAATATCCCAAACTAGACCAAACAACATCTTCTCTATCTCTGCATCTCATGCTCCCCAAACTGACTCTTATCCCCCATCTCCACCCCCCGTCGCTGCATCTCAACCGCATACCGCATAACCTCCGCCTCCCACTCCTCCAGCGCCTCCATCTTCCCTCCCAACAAGCGCTCCACCGCCCCAGCCAGCGCCATAGCATCCAGCGCCGCCTGATTCGTACTCGCCGCCGTATGCGGCCGAAACCCTGCAAGCGCATCACCCAGCAACAGCACTCTTCCTCCCTCCAACACCGCCGCCGGCGCAATCACATCTGTAATCGCCTGCACAAATGGAACCTCCGTTCCACGTACCACCTCCGCAAACTGCGGCGGCAACATCTCTTTGGCCCTCTTCTTCTGACGTTCCCAAACCCCCAGATTGATACCGCCAGGAGGAAGCGTGATATGATGTTTCTTCCCATGTACATCCGTCATCACTTCCTCATGCTCAGTCGAATCTTCAGGAGCATTAACGTACCAGACCCAATTTAACAATCTGCTTCCTGGTTCCGTAGTGCCATGTGCACCGGGAATCGTGTAAGCGAGGATTTGGGTACCAGGGGCATGGAAGAAGGTGAAGGTGTTAGTGAAGAGGGAGTGGGTTGTAGCTGAGAGAGAGGACTCGGGTAGGGTGCCGCGCCAGGCTATGTAGCCGGCGTAGGTTCGTGTGGTGGAGGAGAAGTAGGAAGTGCGGATTTGGGAGCTGGGGCCGTCGGCGGCGAGGACGAGGTCTGCGGGGGTGGTGTGCGATTTGCCGGAGGTGTGGGTGTAGGATATTTGGACGGGGGTGGACAAGTCTGGGGATGAGACGTCTACGCTTGTGACTGTGCAGCCGTATTTGTAGGATGTGCTTCCTTCGCCGGGTTCTGGGGTGGGGACTGCAGCGTAGTCGGTTTTTGTGCCGTCGTAGTTTGTGCGGAGGAGGTGGTAGAGGAGGTCCCAGCTTGTCATGTGTTGGTCTTGGTCGTGGCGGCTGATTATTTTGCCTTGTTTGTCGAGATATTGCCGCTGGTGGCTTGGGACTGTTAGTGGTGTATTGGTCCGGTCATGGGTTTCGAAGAACTTTTGCACTTCTCGGCCGGCTACAACACCTGCGCCTTGGTCTTGGAGAAGGGGCGTTGGGTTGCGCTCGAAGATGCGGATGTTGAGGTCTTTTCTCAGACGCTTCAATGCAACTCCAGCCATGAGACCGCCTAGTGAGCCTCCTACGATGACGATGTTCTTGGGTTTTGCCTGGGTCATAGTTGTGCGTGGAACTGTGTGAAATGCGGAGATGAAATGAGAGATTGTTAGATTTGAGCCGTGAGTTCAGCAGTGCGTAGACTACATTTTAAGCTCAGAGACTACAAAGATCCACACAAGGATAGATTCTTGCATTACAGTCAATGACATGATGTTGTATCCTAGATGGTGTAAGGTTGGAAGTTGTCGGAAGCTCGATAGGGACGTCGCTTATGTTACCATGACGTACACTATATCCACAAGCATCGGAAACACACTAAAATCGTTCTCTGGTCGGTTATGTTCAAGGAAATGATCATTTTAGATTTTTCTAATCGTCTGGATCATGTATATACATGCTGGTTATCTGCGCCTGCGCTCATTGAAATGCCCGAACCGCCCTAGTATCCTAACAATCCGACTATGTACAGCACTGCTTCATCCCAAAGTCCTCCTTTCATTGGCACTGCAACTTCTGGCTTTTGAATATCCTGCAAATTTGGATTTGATGCGGACTTGCGGGCCCCTAAAGTACGGGACATGTACCGGTATACAAAATGAAACAGCAAAGCTACACACAACCAGATGTTGGCGATTCCAATCAGAACAGACGCGACAACTACACCAAACCAGTGGAGCGGCGGTCCTGTTATGAGAAAAGCGCAAATGATTAGACCGTGCGGAAGGTAGATGATGTAGTACAGAGGACGATCGAGGCGAGTCTTGGGAACCAGATTTTCGCCTTTAGTGCGTCGCGCCTTGCGGTTACCGACAAAAGGGAAGAAGCTAAAGTAACCCAACACACACGAGGTCGCCAATGCGATAAGAATGAAGGAAATGCTCGTAGGTGTAAAAGACCACTGCTTGAGGATATAGCTGTACCTCTCAAAGTAGGAAAAGATGAGGGTATCGATGTAGCCGCTCAGCAGAGCGAAGAGTAGGATGATAGGCTCGGAGGTGATCATCTCGTATGGCTGGAACATCGCCATGACCCATTTGTGAAATGGAAATATTTCCATCCAGACTTTATCGTAATTGGGTCCATAGACATTCGTGCTGCCCTTCTCTCTTTGCCTTTTCGCTTCACGATCCAGCAGAACCGACGCCCGCATCTCTTCCGTAAACAGCCAGTGGAGCAACTGTGTAGCTACCCCAAGAATGAGCTGAAGCCAAAAGGTACATCGCCAGTCAAGGAACTGTTGAACCGCGCCTCCAGCAACGCCAGCAAGGACAGTGCCAAGACAGATAAAGAGAGATGCCCACAAGACGGCGCAGAACTGCTCGTCCTCGTCAAACATATCCTGGATGATTCTCATATTTACGTCGCACCCAGCTGAAGATAGCCCTCCAACAATCCTCCCTCCAATGACTCCACCAAAGCTCTTTGACAAAGCGCACATCAGAACGGACATATTGGTCAGACCAAGTGAGGCCTGCGTGACTGACTTACGACCCATGTCGTCTGAAAATGGGCGCCAGAGCCTGCATCCGACCGCTTGCGAGATCGAGAACGCTGCCATTCCTAGTTGAGAATTTTTGACGCCAAAGTGTGTGTTTAGTGAGGGAACGGCGTTGTAGTAACTGGCTGCGGTGAAGGCTATGCTAGTTTGGCAGGATGAGATGACGGTCAGGAGGATCCATTTTCGACGTGCGGACCATGCCTGGGCTAGATTTTTGCGTGAATTCTGTTTAGTGAGGAATTTGGTGGAGGGGAGGCGATTCCGAATATAGGAGCCAGGTAGTTTGGAAGGGTGTGGTGAAAATAGTCTGTAAGGCTGTGATGAAGACATTTTAGGAGTCACGTGGGTTTGGTGGAATATATTAGGTATGTTGGATATGTGACTATCTTGGAGATTGTGTGTGTGTTCTGAGAGGCTTGGAAGGGAGTTACCGGGTATATATTATTCATAGACAGCTACAGATGCAAATGTTTATTGCTATGCATTTTCTCAACTGTGGTTGATGTGGTCTTGTCACCGTCTAACCATGGTCGAAGTTGGAGGACAGGATCGCATTTCCAAGAGGGGTGCATGTATTAGTAATGGGCTCTTCTATAGCTGCCTTGTTGAAGATACTAACAGCAGTCCCTAATCCTAAACGTATTGATAATGTGTGTCTGTCGAGTCGCTCAGCCAAGTCAAATAGGTGCGGGATTGAGCACTCCAATCTGTTCTTAATCACAATCTCAGCACGAAGTGACGGTAGAAAGAAGACCCCTGACCCAGCTATGTCAAGTCATCTTGATTATCACTTCTGTGTAGTTGCATTTGACGTACGACATTGGCGGAAGAGTGTGACTCGCTTTTCTCCACAGATTCCCATGCATCGAATGGAATTGCGTATACACGACTAGTTAGGTCCCATTGGACGGTACAATAAGTTTGCTGATGCTACCGTACATGGCTGTCTCGAATCCATTATTAATCTTCGTTAAGAGATCATACAATCACTTCGTCTATGTCACGCAGTTCGTGGGCGAAACGCGGATTGACGGGTATATGCAGCAAGCCGTAGGGTATTATGTGCTCATATCATAATTCAAGATTGACTGGCTTCGAGGGTTGCACAAAGTTGAGCAAGACTTTCATAACCCCGCATATGTGAATATACATTCAGGGTGGGTGCATATCTTATCAGTCCCCTGAACGTTGCTGCATCGATGTTCAGGCAACCATCGTTACATGTGCGGGAAAGATCTGAAGATGTGACCTTCCTGCGAAAGGCATAACTATCTCAAGTCACTCAAGAGGTTTGAGCCAACCGGCGTGGTTCCATTTGTAGTACAGCGTCATTGAACACCTTGTCACACAACACGGTTCTTTGAACCGAACACCTATAGCCATCTGAAATGTAGTATGCCTCAGTGTTCAGGGATCGCCACAATCCTCTGCACGGCCTGAAAAGGCAGGTGAAGTCCCAACGAGGATGCCACGTCCAATGACGGTTTTGACAGACGCGATGACATCTCGGCGAGAAGAATTCCGTCAGATTCCCATCAGACCGGACTTGAAACCATCTCAAGACTGACAGGAGTTTTGAACCCAACTTGACGTAGAGTTGTGTTTTCAATGTTCCGGAATTGCGAAGGGTCAACGAACGCATGAATGTCAGACTTTCTGCCGGTTAATGGAGAGAGAGGTACAATCGAAACTGAAACTACTGAGCGGCATAGATATTCCGTACAATAAAAGCCGATTTGCATCAATAAGTGCTATGTAGGTTGCTGAAGTCGTGACTGTTAGCGCATACGGCGATGCAGTGTGCCATGGATGCCGTGGTGATGTTCGGGGTGATGTCGGCCAATATTAACAGCACGCTTGTTGAACAGAGGAGTTCCTAGCGAGAGGATTTCGGATTACCTGTAGCTTAGGTCAAAGCGGCGAAATCCAGTAGTGCAACGATGCATCCGAGCCCGTTAAACGGTAGACGCAGTGCGGGGGTGATAGTCGACAGTGGTTCCTGGGGTTCCTGGAGCTTCTTGAAACCTCCGACGTCTGAACTGGGACGCGATGATCCAAGACAAACGAGAGCCACACACTCAGGTGCACCATGCTCAACATTTCCGTCCAATCATCTTGCTGTTTTCAAAATATACAGATACCGCAAGCTGACCAATGCATCCAGCGGTTCCAATTAGCCTTGTCTCTTCTTGCAGCGGTAGCAATAGGACAAGGTAGCAGCCTCTCTTCGCACGTTGGGCCTTGTGACAATTACCGGCATGCAGCGTTTGCACGTCTCTTCATGCAGCGGATGCGCATCCCTTCTGTTACACCAACAACATACAATCGTTCTGGCTGAGCAGCATCCGTCTTTACCAGTTTCGAGTAAGCGCTTGTGACTGAGGCCACTGAGCCATGTCCAAACACATCCCTCTGGCCCTCTTAGCCAGAACAGGCCCATGTGCGCGTCAAACTCAGTCCTTCTACCGCCTTCCCGCCTTCTGCAGTCGTATGTCGCTTTCTTCACCCTGCGGCCCGTTGCATGACTTGGGCCGTGTACTCGGTACCTGTTGAAATCAGTTCTCTGAGCAACACGTCTCCACATTCGTTCCATTAAGTAAGAGGGGGGATCCGAGTCTTCAAATCTTCATACCTCGCTCACTATCAGTCGAAACTATTCAGTCGAAACTATCACACTTACTCAGCACCCCTACAGCCTGGTCGTCATGGCAGCCGTCATGCGCCCACGAGCGCTAGATGGCGAGAGGAGAATGAACATGGACGCCCTTGGGATAGGCTACATGGTCTTCGCCATATTCTACACCATCATACTATCTGCAGAACTCTACTTTTTATATCGACGACGTGATGCATTCTGCATACAACTCCGAAACATCAAAGTGCTTTTCGCAGCAGTTTGCATGCTCCATGTGTATCTCAGTATTGTCCTCTTTGTATATCCTTGGAATGGCTTCTTTCCATGCTCAGCCGAATTCTGGATCATGTCTGTCTTCCTTCCATCTGGCATGGCATTCTTCCAGGGTGAGTAACTTTAGCTTACAGCCATAAGCCTTTACTAACGCTTCATAGCTTGCAATGCAAAGGTTCTCACAGTCTATGAGAGGCAGAATCGGTTGACGCGCAACTTCCTTGAAGGAGCGCGCAAGAAGCGCATCTCATACACCCCCCGTGGGCTATACGAAGCGTGGCGCGATCTTGATGCCGCAAAGAAGGTGTACTTTGGTACCTTGGCTGGATTAGCAATTTCAGTAAGAGCTGCTTGCTTAAATCACATATATTTTGCGCTAACCGGTACAGTTTATTCCTGCCATTATATTGTTCTTCGGTTCGCGCCGTTTTCATGCGTCCTACGGCTTCTTTGGAATGGCTACAGACTTCCACAAGTGCCGTCGAGGGGGTGAATGGTATGTGACGTGTTTGCGAAAAGATGGACGGCTGAACTAATCATAGTGCAGGATTCCATCGATTTTCGTTCAGCTATTCTGGACGATGCTTGTGGGTCCTTGGATTCTTTGGAAGATTCGCGATATCAGGGATGTTCATTCGTGGGCCTGGCAAACAAGACTTGCCATCATTGCTGGGTATGTTTAGTTTCCCTACTCCTTACTCAAATCACTTACACTCTGTAGCCTACCAGGAACGCCACTCTGGATTGCCTTTACATACTCAAACATGGAGATCGCTACAAGCGTCAATAGATTCTTCGCGCCAGCTGGATGGTAAGTTTCGGGTTTGCCCATAGTGCTTTGATCTTGACACTAACTCTACCAAATAGGTTCATACCATCACTGATAGTTTGCCAACAAGTCTTGATCATCATTCCTCTCCGTGACGCACTGAAGATGCAGCCTTACCGTCGCTCTTCAATCTCCGAAACCGATTCTTTCAAATCTTCACGGCCCATTCTGATCGAAAAGTCGCCAATTGAGAGCCTCGACAAATCTGCCAGAACCAAAGTATCTATGCAAGCGCTGGAATTTAGTATCGAACACAGCATTGAGCCTCTCATTGCCTGGGCCGCAGCCCGCGAATTTACAGCCGAGAACTGTATCTTCCTGCGCGAAGTGCGCAACTTTAGGAGAAAATGGGCTGTGCTAAAGGTCGTCACTACAGCGCAACGCCGCCAAATGTTCAACGAAGCATCCCTCATCTTCTTCACGCTCGTCAACCCGTTTACCGCCGAGATGGCCATCAACATCGAATACAAGATCTTCAAGACGCTGCAAGCCGTCTTCGCAGAAGTAGAATTCGATCCATATATGCCGCGCTGCAAAACGCCTGATGATGTTCAATCACCCGTCTTCAGGGAAAACGTCGTGTGCCCGTGGGAAGACACGTTCAGCCGCCCGACAAGTATCCAAAGCGACACGACATCATCATCCACCTCGAGTACAAAGAGCATAGTACCGAGTGAATTTACAGACGAAATTTTCGACGCTGCATATGACAGCATCAAGTACCTTGTTTTCACAAATACCTGGCCTAGGTATGTGGAGCTCGCAGGCAAGCTTCATAGCGCTCTCTGAACACCACGTCTCCCATGACTGCTGTTTCGATCAACGCCCCCCATTGTTTTTTTTTACCTTTTACCTGCCTCCCCTTCTTAGTTAGGATAATACCCTTGAATGATAATGCAATTACTTTTCCTGTTCATGTTGTTGAACTTGATCATCCTGGCTACCATCATCTACGTATTTTGCTGCCCCTTTTCCTCGTTCCCCAGCTTCTGGAAAGATGACGGAAAACCCAAAACTAAATTGTTCGTCATAATTATAATCATAATGTATTTTATTACCACTATTGGTCCACATGCGCAAACTATCGCCATCGCCATCGCCCAAAGCCCTGATTCTAGAAGCCCAAGGCAAGTTCTCTCATTGTACTCGCCAAGGACAACACCAGATCCACCTGTGGATGCGGTTTCGACATGTGTTTTGCTACCATGCGGGGCGCGTTCTAGAATTTGTCACGCTTCCAATGTTGATCAGCCGGTACGCATACCTCTCTTGGCAGTCGTAGAAAAAAGAGTACCCACTGTGATAGCGATCTAAAAGATCGACATGTGCACATGACATGGCAAGTAAAGTATAGAAACAAATCCTTCCCTTTGTAAACTAAACCCACGCAGTTCACTCCTTCACCACCCTTCTTTTTTCGATATGTGGAAAGTCGACGAGATGTCTCATACACGGAGGCTTCACAAATACTACTCGGCCTGTTTACCTGGATAACAAAACGGTCGTTTGCATGTCCAGGCTCCGTTTTCGCGACGCGAATGTTGCTCAGACAAGCCACAATGGTCGTTGACGGGAAAAAAAGAGTCTTTTTTTTTCCCTTTCCCTTTGCTCATCTCTCGTCGTTACAACCATCCGGTCGGGACCTCTATGCAGCGCGCCAAAATTCATGCGTCAGGGGGTGTGGCGCGGAAGGAATGGCAGAGTTGTGAGTTAGGAAAGGGGGCGGCTGGCGAGTTCGTGGCTGTAGGTTTCGTATCTTGGAGCGGATGGTGTCACAGGTTGTGGTGGTGCAGGATATGCACAGACCATGGGTGGTGAGTCGGGCTGACGGGATGGAGCGGCGGCTTGCCGAGTGGACGGTGGTACTAAGACGGAGGAGAAAATTAGTCGTGTGTCTTCTTTCGCACATTGTTGTCTACCCATGCGATTTTTGTCGAAGAAGCGACATACGGCATTGGTATCAATTTCGCGACTGTATTCTCCGTATCTGGTGCCAAAGTAGGGTACGCTGCCTTCTAGTAATGCAGCGCTGCCAAGTTTCTCGTACGGTTCCTCCTTTTCTTGGTTTTTCAGTCGATATTTAGAAGTTGGTGGTTCAATAGGGCCTTGTAGCGCGGGTGAAAAAGTTGAAAGGCCAGGCCATGCTATTAAGCATTCTGTGTTGGAAGATGACCAGTCTTCTGGGTATGGTTGTGTTGAAGGCCAAGTCGATGGGTCGGGTCTAAACGGTTTCACAATAGGCGTCCTGTAGGTTCCATCCGCTTGGCAGAAGAAGTCGATACTACGCTTGAGGGCAGGGATGACTCCATTTTGGGGGTTAGCTTCGTTTTTGAAGTGGTGGTTTATATCCTTCACACCAGAAGGATCGGTCAGGGCGTTTGAACACACTGCACACCACGGGTCTGGGTAGCTGTTCAATCCACGTGAGAAAGGCGATTCGCTCGAGGAAACCATGTTGTGCGAGAAGTATGTGTGTTAAAATTGGGGTTGAGAAATCACAACGGCTATGTCTTTCTCCTCGTGAAATAACGTGTTGATGCATGTCAAGTTATGAGAAGCTATCATTGCTAAATAGTAAAGAGTCGCATCGCATTATTCCTATGCACAAATATGTAGTAGAACTAAAGTTGAAGAATGCTGCAACAGAATAAAGATGCTTCTTCTGGAGGTTTATAATCAAATGCACCGCCGGTGAGTGGTTGAATGGTAGCGACTGTGAACACAGAAATTTGCCGACTAAAACTCGAGAAAACGTGCGAACCATGGCAAGTCCTCACTAAACATGGTTATCATGCGCGACATCGATTTTACTTCAGTTTTTGGTTTTTGTTCTTCGTATCTATACATTTACCAAATTCTAAATTGTAGAACTAATTCGTTGCATAAGGAGAAGTAGCTCGAAGAGAAGTACAAGAGACAAATACAGGTGATAAGAAAGCACATGTTCAATAGCAACCTCCTTCATCACCACAAGTTCCACAAAACAAGAGACGTCCACGTGAGGTTGGAAACAGTTCGCATGTTCTTGAATGTAATTAGGTATTGTGGGTTGTGTAGGCTTAACAAGATACATGTGACATTCTCGGTATGCGCAATAATTTTTGGATGCATTCTGGTACTGACCCCCTCGTTTTCTACGAGATTAGTGCGGATGAAGTTTCTAATCTCCGCTCGAAGTGGCGTTATGTCCATAGGTAAGTGGTTGCAGCTTCGTTCCTGTTGAAGCCATGGTGTCTCGATGCGGTATTGAGATGTGTTTGTGTTGGTGATGCTTGCAGCGAGAGATATAGTGCAAGCAGCACCGGCAACTGGAGTAAAGATAAGTTTCTGGCGGGGTATGGAAGGAGAAGAGTCAGAGTGATGCTTACAGCAAATAGTAGAGTACAGGCAAGATCAAAGTCGAAGGCTAGATTTTGTCGGTTTATGCATTAAAATGGAAGTGGAAGAGTGAGAAGGTGGTTGGAGAGTGCGGGGTGTTACATGCAGGAGTGTTTGTTTACCTTGTTTGTTGTGGAAGGCACTCCTCGTGCCTGCTCGCTTTCCTCACAGTTGCCCTCTAATGCCTAACTCGCCAGGTATAACGCCACTTTTGTGGATGCAAAGATGATGTATCTAATGATGGATTAGAGTTCCCGTGAAAATGTGGGAAGATTGACCTTCCCGAGACTGGTCCACGCCACGATGGATTCCCTGCCGGGATACGGAACAGGCTATACGAGATATCAGTCTTCTCCAAAAAGACTAAAGTCGAGCGGGCTGAGAGAATAGTAGACGAGGGTGGCATCAGCGATATAAACACCGTCCACTTCTTCTATATTGACCACGTCACCGACGCCGAGAGGAGTGAACTTTTCGGAAACACCATCACTCACGTGGCAGAAATGGCCTACGAGGTGCTGAGTTTGTTCACACCATGTACACTTTTCGCTTTCGACCAGCCACTAGGCTTGCTCCTCTTTACGGAGGCATTCAATGCCCGCATTCTCCACTTCGAGGCACTAACTAAGCTCTATGTCGAGTTCGACATGAGTAGCACACTTGGAGGAGATGAAAGGATTAAATTCGATAGTTGGATGCCAATCAGGCTTTCCCACGACCTTGAAGCTAATTCCCACAGGATCTTCAAGATATAGATAGTTACTATCCAAGGCTAACCTCCCACAACTCTATATAAATCTTATATTCTCTTATATTTGGCGCGACTTCCGCAGTCTCTAAGGCCTATTAAGAAGGACTAGCTTATGCCGTTATCCTGTTACCTTCCGCTTCTCTTCTAGCAACAACCAAGTATATCTACTACACCGCGACTTCCTCATCGCTCAAACTATTGCTGCAGTAAAAGACATCGAGGTACCAAACGAAGCCAATATTAGCCAGGGCTTCACCTAATAACTTTTTCACACCAGCCATGAGTCCTAGATAACACTTTAACTTCTAATATTTCTTTACCAAAGCTATTTAAAACCTCACCATAAGTTAATAGTAAAATCTGTTCATGACATCTATGTCGTGTAGGATCTAACGCGTGACACATTCGAGCTGTTGTGGCTTCCATCCATGGGTTGCGCGGTCATAAACCATCTGTAGGAAGAGAGGAATGTTATGATAAGGGAATTCTCTGTCCATGTCGTTCTTCTTTATGATAGCGTGAATATCGATAATGAGATGGGAGCTAATGTCGCTCAAGGATGGATTTTGGTATCACCAAACGATAGGCAGTAGGTAATACAGCAGTAGTAGCCATACCTTCACTTCTTAGACGAACCTCTCAGCGTCTTCTTTCGAGAAGATCTTGGTGAATTCGCAGAACGCTGCCGTTCCTTCGTTGCTTGGTTGTTGAATGAGTCTCGGTGCGAGCTTGATCAACGTATCTCTTATCGCCTTAGCAGCTTTCAGGTCGTCTGTCATCTTCCAGATGCAATACTTCATGAAGATAGCGTTGGATTCAGCGACTAGCCTGGTGACTGTGAGGGGGTTAGGCAGCTTCCTGTTGCTGGGGTTAACAACGGCCACCTCGCCCTTCTCCGCTTCGTTGGCTCTTCACTCTCTTTCTTAGTTCCCGCTGAATTGTGGCTGCCAGCAACTTCTGGGAACTTTTAGCGCTGTTTAATTTGGGCGTTGTGGGAAATGTTGCTCCAGATCTCGGAGAAATAGAATATCATGTCACTTGAAATGAGGGGCATGTCGCAAAGGCCCATTGTCTAATGGTAGGCCACGTAATACTTCACGCTTCCGTTGACGATAGTTTTACTAACGGAGACCATAGCTCTTAGCACGTTCGCTTCGACTGGTAGAACTCCCATACTTTTCTTCTTTTTGTCTCGTTCGCTGTCTCGCACACAGCCAGAGCCTTTAGTAGAATACTTAGGAGGGTTGGTAGCTAGTACTAACCCAACGATGAAGAACTTAATCATTTTTGGCCTTCCTTACCCCTCTTTGTTAGTAGGTAAGATGAATAGCGTCTAATTTCCAGGCGGGCTATATAAAGTGGCTTCATTTTAGATTTTTAGTTAGGAAAATTAATAGCAGTAGTTAATCAAAGAGAAATTGAGAAAGCGTCTTCGGTACTAAACATGAAAACTTCTTTCTGCATCCTAGAAGTGAAGAGTGGATTAGTTCTAATAATGAAATCTTTTTAGAAATCGAATTTTTTTGATTGTGAGAGGGCTAGAGAGTTAAGCTCTTAACTTTAAGTATTCCTTAGATTAAGCACACAACACGCTTTGAAAGACTGTTCTAACGCTAAATTCGAAATACAACTAATTATATGTTAGATTATACCTTGAACTAAACAGAAGAAGAATTATCATAAGTTCCCCTCCCATCCTCGACGACACGATTGCAGTCGTAAAAGAGAGTTTCGAAGAACAGGAGAGAAACGAGAGGAACTTGACTTGCTGGTATACCGCAATGCATTGCGCGGTGGTGAATAGGTCGGAAGAAGTCGAGAAGTCTTAATCCAAATAGGATTAGCATTGGGAAAGCCCGAGGAAGCAGAATCTATGCAATGAGAATGCAATGAGAAAAGTCCTTACGACTTTAAGATAAAGACTATCGAGTAATAGATAGATAGAGGAAATGAAGCTTAATGTGCACTCCCCCTTCAGCACCCCTAGCCGGGCTATTAGAGTTACCTATTCCATACCCACAATCCTATTTCACCCCCACCACCCCCGCACCTCTCCAAATCTACCCCGCCCTCTCTCTTTCCCCAAACAGCACCACCACCACAACAACAACCACCACCCAATGCTCGAAATCGCCGCCTTCACCGCCCCCTCCGCCATACTCGCCTTCCAATCCGGCGCCTCACGCATCGAACTCTGCACCTCGTACCCCTTCGGCGGCATCACTCCCTCCCTCTCCACGCTCTCCCACGTCCGCAGCGCAACCCGCCTACCCATAACTGTCATGATCCGACCCCGCGGCGGCGACTTCATCTACACCGCCTCCGAATATAGCACTATGGAATCCGAAATCGCCAGCCTAAAAGATCTGGCTGATGGATTCGTATTCGGGATTCTAGATAAAGAAGGGAGAGTGGATGAGGAGAGGTGCAAGCGGCTTGTGCGATTGGCGGAGCCGAGGGCGTGTACGTTTCATCGGGCGATTGATGCGGTGAGGGATTTAGAGGAGGGGGTTGAGGCGGTGGTGAGGTGTGGGTTTAAGCGGTTGTTGACGAGTGGTGGGGAGAAGAGCGCGGTGGAGGGGGTGGAGAGGATACGTGGGTTGCAGGAGGTGTTTGGGGATAGGATAGAGATTATTGCTGGGGGAGGTGTCAGGAGTGGGAATGTTGCGGTTGTCAAGGGGACGGGGGTGCCGTGGGTGCATTCTGCGGCTGTGACGGGGGAGGGGGAGGAAGTGGATGGGGAGGAGGTTGGGAGGATTAGGGGGGTGTTGGAGGGATTGTAAGGGTGTTCATTAGGTGGTGTGTATATACGTCAGAAGCGTCGCTATATAAGTGTACATATGGTGTGGGTGTGCTAAACGCCTCGTCTGAAGATTAATCAGACTAGATCAAAGCGTACATGAGAGCACCGAGAATAGATATTCCAAATGAGGCGGTAGCATCAACACCGACATGTCCTGCAGCTCCAGTCTTTGTAGGCTGAGCATCTGTCCTCGTCTCCGTCACAACGGCTGTCCTTCCAGCAATGGTCGTAGCTTGGGTGATGGTTGTAGCAGGAATCGTAGTCTCAATCTGCTGTCCGCCCACAGTCGCCGTAGCAACAGACTCAGCGACTGTTGTTGGTGCTGTATAGGTAACTGGAGGGAGCGTAGTAGTGAATACAACAATCGAGCCCAGTTCTGACACAGGAATGGCACCGCCAACACCCGTGCCAGTGAACTGCGGTGGAATCGACATGGTCGATGTGTTTGGTCTCTCTGCCTCGTTGCCAGAGTAGATGTTCGCGCTATGTCCGTCCTTGGTGTAGTTACCGCTAATCAGGTTTACATCCGTGCCGCCAGAGTGGTAATCTCCTGTTGCGATGGTGCCGTAAGAGCCGTCTGGAAACTGAAAGTTGGTTGTGAATTTATCGTAGCACATTGGGATGTTGAGGGTCTGGAGGTTCACGCAGTCGAGGCTGGGGTGGCAAGCGAAGCCCTCTGCGCGCTCGTTTATAGAACGCGGCTCAAATGAGATGCCTTTTACTGAGGCCACGACATTGGTGTAGAGCGAGCTAAGGTCGGGTCCGACTGAAGGAGGTGTCTCGGTTGTTGCGCCTTGAGGCTTGCAGGCCTTGTAGGAAGCCTCGTCGTCTTTTTGGAATCCTTCAAAAGGCGATGCAGCAGCCACGGCGGCAAGAGCGAGGGACAGGTATTTCAGGGTCATGTTGACGTTGTGGTGGTGGATTATGACTGATTATGGGTATTGCACGATGTAGTGCTGAACGATTGACGAATACCACAACTGGCAATGAATGGCGAGGGTAAAAGAACGGACACCTGAGCGAAGGACAGTGGGTTGGTCCAACGGCTAGGGAGAGGCGAGGGCGGCCCTGAATCTATATACTAGTACCGCGACTGCAGCCCTCACATGCAGTACTGACAGGGTTCGTTAGACTGCTTTTTCCTTCCAGAGCTAGCCAACAACGAGTATCACGCGTGCAACTTGCACGATCTAATCAAAGGTACGCTAGTATACGAGGACAATTGTCAATCGACTCAACTTGTTATTTGTTGCGCATTCACCAGATCTATGCCATCTGAATAGACACCCGCAATTGTCTGTAACTCGAAGAAGAGCGAGTTGCGCACTCATTGAAATCCGCCCTTCAGTTCCAAAACCCTCTTCGTGTTTGCAGATTCTTGGAAAAGTGACAACGGTAATCCAAGATTCTGCACCAAGGAAGCGATTTTATTGACAAGGGGTTCGTTACGGCAAGGCGGCAACAAGTGGAGTACAGCAACACCATCTCATTCGTCAGAGGCAGACCTAGACAATATCCCATTTTTTCTTGCCCTTCAGTTTAAACCCCGCCCTAAAGAAGCGCCTTGGACTCGAGTCGTCGTCTGCAGACTCGGCTCGCTTTTTGTTTGGGTCGGGAAAAGTCGCAGTTGGAGCAATAAAGAAAAATGCGGGTTGCAACGTCATGACGGGACGCCTTGTTCCCAGCAATGAGGATGCGGCTTGTTGGTTCCTGGCGGTGTATCCACTGCGTTGTGGGTAATCTACTCATGTCACATGCAGTGTTTTCCAGGGCTGTAATTCCCGCTAGGAAGCAATGAGATTTTTGTCAAGGTAAAGCTGAACACGTCTTGACGCGTTACTGGAGGTTGTGATGGAGGTTGGGCGGAAGTCGTACCATGACTCGTCTTACGCGAATTGGGTTCAGCCTCAATGCATCTGCTGTGGGTAATCTTCTAATCCTACTTTCTCAGGACGATACAAGCAAGGTATACATATTTACTTTTTTTTCAAGCCGTTTTATCGCAACGAACCACGTGCGCCCCTCTCTACTATACCCCGCTATCTGCCAAGCAGCGTGCAACCGCCTTAAAATAGCATCTGGGCATCCAAGCAGGTAACGGTGCGAATTGTTTCAATATGCCATAGTATCACCGAGGCTGCGGCTGTAACGGCATGTTCATGCTACTGGTATGCAGGGACAAAGCAGTGCATTCGGACAAGATGTGGACTCAGGATTCCCGAGACCCGCATCTCTGCAGTGTGGGTCATTGGTATCCATGAGAAAAAGGGTCGAGAAGCTTAGCATAGTATTTAAACAGCAGCTGGGGAAACTGATGAGACGAGCAGCTATAATCTGTAATCTATCCTATCCGTCTTCACGAAGAGATTTAGCAGTATGCCTAGAATCGTGTTTCAGATACAGTCAATCAACCCAATGCTTTTCTACGACTGTACTGTAGACGGAAGCCCGCAGCAGTCCGGTGAACTAAAACTTACAACAGTTTAGTTCACACGTCAACTGAGCTTCTAGAATGAAACACAACCATACACGCGACTGTTGATTTGAAACTATTGGGCTCTCAAACACGATATTGAGAACAACTGGCCACATGAGCAAGCCAAGTACAATGCAACGTTCATGGCAGCAATGCATACACTCGACGCATTTACACCCCACCCCCAGCTTTCCTGCAAAAAGCACGCCAAGCTTTATCCAGACCCGCAACGCCAAGTTGCCTTGAAGCTTGGATGATCCAGACTAAGGGAAACATGAATCGATGCGTACAGTCAAACGTGACCTGGTCGGGGGGAAACCTGCGTTGGACGAAACACAGGGTAACTGCCGAGGCCAGCGAGAGCTCAAGGAGAGAAGTCCTCTGGAGGATGCTCAACCGCCCTAAGACTAGGACTTCGATCTGAGGAGATTATTGAAAGCAGTAGTAGTATAGATCGATGGTTCGGTAATCGCAGATGGAACTTGGGGCGGCTCGTCGGCATGATTGACACAATCGACACAGCCACTCGAGGTGCAGCAGTTCCGTGCGCAGTCTTCGCATCATGCAATTGCAACCAAGATGCCGCGGTAAGGATGGGGATCGGCAGAGCTTGCACCATACTCTACCTGACGCTGGAGTGCGGAAGGGAGGCGCAGATGGACGAGACGCGATCAAACACTGGCCAGACCGGGTCCAAGCCACGCTGAGTGACATCATGGCGCCCGTACCTGCAGCGACACGCAACCCAGGCTTTTTGTATAAGTAAACCTGCTGCTGTCCATCACTCAACACTACACTACAGTAGGCGTGTTAGTGTGGCTGTGGCTTGCGATTGCTACGTATTTCTTGCGGGCCTCTGTCTTCCTGCCCTCGCATTCCCTTGTCTTCTTCAGCCTGCCATTCTTTTCTTGAACAAGAGTAGCACGTCTTCGCCTCCTTGGTTCCACTCGCTGCCATCATTGCAACACCACCATGGTCCAACAACGTACATGGCAGCACGCGCTGCAACTGGCTGCGACTGTCGGTCTCGCCGGTGCAGTTGCAATTCCAGAACCCACGGCTGTCCCAGCAAAGGTGGTTGAGGTCCGTGAGCCACTCGTCACTCCAGCCGCGGTCCGATTCGACAGCCGGATGAGCTACGTGCAGAGAGACATTATCGACGACATCAAGAGCGGCGTCGGGGGCTATGCGCAGTCCCTAGGCAGTGTGCTGGGTACAGACCTGCCCAGCTTCTTCACTGATGGTAAGCAAATCTTTCAGGGGTAGAGCGCGCTAGTAAAGCTTATGCTGACACTTCTTCCCCAGGCATTCCTGCTTGGTTCGAAGGCCTCCCCACTGGCTCCCAAGTCCTCAAGTCTCTCGACATTGGCGACGATGACCTAGCTTCGAAGCCCACTCAAGTCCTCAATATCCCTCCATATGCGAACTGGACCGACCAAGGCTGGAACGTCCGCTTCCACGGCAATGTCTACAAGTTCCCAGATATCGATCAGAAAAAGGTCGATGATCTGGCCAATGTCTTTTTGATCGACACAAGCATCGACAAGCTGCCTCAGAACGAGCAGGAACAGGCACGCAACCTCACCCGCTCCATCTTCATTGTCCAGCAAGGCGACCAGAATGTTTCCATGAGCCTTGAGCCCTCGCCCATGCAAGGTGCCGACGGTGAGCCCGGTGGCGGTAACTCGGTCCAGGCACCTGGCGGAACCCAGTCCCTTACCCTTCCCTACGAGACTACCGAACTGGGCGACTTTGACGTCTTCGTACCCATCCAACTGAATGGCCTCACACCCGGTAACCAGACCAACAACGTTCAGCGCCTCAACGTTCATACCAATGGCACCGACAGCGGCAATGCCACTGCCTTCCTCGTCCCCCCTCAGGGTATCACCTTCATCTCGGATATTGACGACATTCTGCGTGTAACCAAGATCTACGAACCCAAGGAAGGTCTTCTCAACAGCTTCGCCCGCCCCTTTACTCCCTGGTTGAACATGCCCGAAATCTATGCCAACTGGTCGCGTACTCTTCCCAACAACACGCACTTCCACTACCTAACCACCACACCTGAGCAAGCTACTCGTCTCTACATGGACTTTATCTACAAGACCTACCCAGGAGGGTCCTTCGATACTCGCCCGCTCAACTTCTCCGACATCGAGGCCACACTCTCCATCCGTCAATACCTCCTCACCAAGGTTTTCGAGACATTCCCTCAGCGCAAGTTCGTTCTTGTCGCCGACACCTCAAACAGCGATGTCATGAAGGCCTACCCTAAGATGGCTCACGATTACCCCAATCAGGTTCAATGCATCTTCTTGCGCAACACGTCAGCCACTGACGACAAGATGTGGTTCCCCTACAACACCGAGGGCTTCAAGGGCTTGAACAGCCGCAGCTACATGTTCTTCCGCGAGCCAAATGACTTGATGGGTCTCGACATTGTCAACGGACAGTGCCTGAACGAGACGATCCCGCAGAACGTTACATTCTCCAGGCAAGCAGAGATTCTCGGCATCCATGGAGACAGTGCTGGCAGCAGGATTCAGGGTGGCTCAACGCTCGGCTTCATTTGTGCCCTCTTTGCTGCTGTTGCTCTGTTGATTTAAGATGCACATGGATGACGACACAATCAATGTTGAATGAAATAAGCGTACATGAAGGATGGCGTTTTTTTGCTTGGTATACATGTGGCGTTGGGGTCTCTAGTGCAGCGCACTTGGTCTTTGTTGTTTCGGCCTTATTCTTCTCTTGTGCATAACATTGATCCTGTGCATGGTCGCAGTTGATAGTCTATGATACTACGATACTGGTTCACACTTTCCGTCCCACCCTTTTATGACATGTGATTTCAAGTGACTACTGATTTTACCATGTTCCTCTCTACCCACACATGCTCTCCTCAAACCGCCTCGCAATCTCCAACATCTCAGCATCCAACCTCGATCCACTCAAAAACGTCACACTAAACGGCAACACACCCTCATCTTCCTCCTTTCCACTCAATTCCCCAACCGGATACGTCCCCGCCGGCACCGCAACGCCACACAAATCCAACACATTCCCACAATGCGTAAACTCGCCCAACACGCTATTCTTGGCAATCGGATCCTCCAGTACTTCGTCAATGCGCCAATGCGTCGGCGTCGTCGGCACAACAAGGACATCAATTCCATGGGCCGCATACGCAAACACGTCTTCTGCCTGGCGCGTATACAGTGTTTTGGCTTGTAAATCGCGATATGCATCTACGGCCGTGCTCTTTCTTTGCGTGACGGCATCCATTAGCTGTGCGGTGACTGGATGCAATCTCTCCCGATTTTTCTCGAGAAAGTCGTTGGGGAGAGAGGCGAGGCGCTCGGAGACAAAGGTGCCTTCGTAGAGTAGATTGCCTGCTTTTTGGAAGGGGGACCAGGGTATCGGGGTGAGGATGCCGCCGAGGGATTGCAATTTCGATACTGTGGCGTTGAAGAGACGGCGTGTAGGGGCGGAGCAAACGGCGAGGGCTTCTTGGGGCGGGATTCCGAATTTGAAGGTTGAGGATTGGGGGCCGGTGCTGTTGATGTGGCGTTCAAACGCTAGTAGGGCTGGTTTCGAGTAAGGGTCTAGGGGGTCGTAACTTTCTAGCACTTGCCAGAGCGTACGGGCGTCTGGGATGGTTTTTGTAGCGAGGGCTATGCAGTCGAGGGAGAGACAGGCGGGTGTTATGCCGCGGAAGGAGATGGTGCCGCGTGTGGGTTTGAAACCTACGATGCCGTTTAGACCTGCGGGGACGCGCCCGGAGCCTGCGGTGTCGGTGGCGAGAGAGAAGGAAACGAGGTTGGCGGCTACGGAGACGGCGCTGCCGCTGCTGGAGCCGCCGCTTATGTACGAGGGGTGGTAGATGGAGTGGGGGATGCCGTAGGGACTGCGGCAGCCGACTAGGCCTGTGGCGAGTTGGTCGAGGTTCGTTTTGCCAATAAAGAGGGCGCCCTGGGAAATGACTTTTTCGTAGACGACGGCCGAGGTGGAGGGGATGTGGGCAAGAGGCGGGCAGGCGGTTGTGGTGGGGAGACCTGCGATGTCGATGCTGTCTTTGACACTGAAGGGGATGCCAAAGAGAGGGGGGAGGGCGGTTCGGTCGGGGAATTTGGTGATTAGGTCTCGAGCAGCTTCCAGAGCGGATTCGAGGGGTTGGATGTGGATCCATACGGCTGGGTCGATCTTTTTGTATGCTTCGATTTTACGGTAGACTGCCTCAACGACAGTCAGGGGTGAAAGACCGTTCCTGTAGGCTCGTTGTAGACTGGATATTGTGAGGTCGCCATCGAATTCGGGCGGCGTTTGAGGAGGCGTAGATCCAAGTTGAATCTGCTTTGTGGAGAAAGGCTCAAGAGCCTCAACGAGGGGCTGTAGACTGCCGATGAAGCCGAAGAGGCCTTGCGACCAGTGAATCATGTCTAATGTTGGCTTCTTAAAGCATGCATCATTATATCCACTGGTTGCTTCTTCGATGCCGCAGCATTCGAAGCCGCGGTCGTTTGCTTCTCGAATGGTTGTAGCGAAGCAGCATTCTGTAGTGACGCCCGAAACAATCAAATGTGTGATGGCCCGCGCTTTGAGCTGATGTAGGATGGGCGTGTTCCAGAATGAGCCTTTGCCAGGTTTATCGATGATCACCTCGCCAGGTAGCGGCTTCAATTCATCAATAATATCGTGGCCGTATTCCCCTCTGGTCAACAGGCGACCCAGTTCCCCCTTGTCGCCAATGACTAGTTTGTGCTGGGTATTGCCAGGGGCTGCTTCTTGCCTAACGAGCTTTGATGAGGGGCAGTCTGAGAGGTCCGGTTTATGTCCTTCGCGTGTATGAAAAACGGCCATGCCTGCGCTTCGACATGCGTCAAGGAGTCGTTTGGTGGGCTCAATGGAAACTTGAACCGCTTCCAAGTTTCCACCCTGGATCTCACCGAATCCTTGGGGAAGTAGGAAGTCGCGCTGCATATCTATTATGAGCAATGCAGTGTGGTCCAAGGGAAAGGAAAAAGCGTATGGCTTTGCTTCAAAAGAGATCATGTTGGGTTTCGTATTTGTCTTTGCCATGGTGTCTGAGTGTAGGCGTTCACTTGAAATGGTCAAGATAACATTCAAGGAGAGAGACGAAATGTTCAGAATTAGCTGAATGGATGATGGTAATAAAAGTGCCCCAAGCTTGCAGCAAGGTGCTACATCTTTAGCATTCAACCCATGCTGAATAAAGATTGTCGTCTGCGAACTGCCCGAAAGCGGAGTATGCAGCGGGCCTACGGCGGGCGGCGGCGCGACAACTCTGGGGTCTTATCAGAACAGTGCGAACCCCAATTTAGTTTAGTGCATATTCTGATAAGCTCCCCTCGTGGATGCCCAAGTCAAGAGAAACCTGGCTTCTCACTCTACGGCTCATATCGACATGGCTCTATCGAAAATCATACAAATTCCCGCCCATGTTTCCTGGTGCCGAGATTTCCTATCTTGATAGACATGGGTTGTCAAGATGGACCCTCCAATGTGGATGTCCGCGGAAGCGGTCTTGATACGGGCGCCATGCTCTAGCCAAGTTGTCTTTGGTATTAAATCTATGGCTGATAGATGAGTCTGACCAAGAGTTTTGGTGTTTGGATTTTGTTCTTCACACTCGAACATACGCGATCATGTCAGTACTCAAGGCCAGGCTTGCACCTCACCTCCATCTGAGGGTTCCGTTCAAGAGTGGAAAGTATGGCTCACGCTGGTCGAATCAAGGTGCGTAGCCTCTCGAGACTTCCTGGCTTGCAACGATACTGATGGTCTACTCTATAAAAGATATGGATCCAATCCCTCCGGAACAGCGCACCTGGGGCGCTCTGGATTACTGGGCATACTGGTGTGCGGATATGCTAGCTCCTCCCCTGATTTCGACTGTCAGTAGTGTCATGGCTCTGGGATTCACAGCTAGAGAAACAATACCGATTGTCTTTTTCGGCTTTGCCATCTGTAGCGTGGTCATCACCCTCACTGCTAAGATGGGTGCTACGTACGCTGTTTCCTTTCCAGTCATTGTTCGCAGTGTTTTTGGAATGTATGGCTCAATCCCAGCCATTGCTATTCGATCTTTCGTTGCCATGATCTGGACTGCTATCCTCACAGTCCAAGCTAGCAACTACCTCCAGCGGTGCATCGAAGCCATATGGCCGAGTTTCATCACTTTTCCGAATCACCTGCCTGAGAGTGCTGGGATTGATTGTAAGTTACTATGATTGCTGACAGGGTAACCAATTTCTAATGAAATATTAGCTGCTGGGTTGCTTTGCCTGTTCTTGTATTGGTTCCTACAAACTGGGCTAGCGCTCATGAAAATTTCCAAGTTGCGTGTTCTGTTTTGGATCAAGAGCATCGTAGTTCCCCCGACGTTTTTGGCATTGTTTATATGGGCTGTTACAATCACAAAAGGGTGAGGTCCCTTTGAAATCCGAAGCAGCGTAATATACTAATGTGTTTGTCAGTGGCGGACCGCTCATCAAGGGAGAAATGAAATTGACTTCAACGTACATGAATACCGCCTACTCAGTGCTAAAAGGACTCAACGCTGTCATCGGACTCTTCTCTTCGTTGGCAACCAACATGCCGGATTTTGGCAGGTTCTCCAAAAACCGGATGGCTGGCAACCATCAATTCCTTGCTCTTCCCATAATTGGAACGCTTGGAGCATTGACACCGATATTCGTCACTGACGCCCATTCATATATATGGGGCGAGTTCGAGTGGTACATGCCAAATGTCATTGCCAAGTTCGACTCCCGGGCAGCAAAATTTTTCGTATCTGCCAGCTTCCTCCTTGCAACCATCGGCAACCAGATTGCAGCGGGTACCTATCCATTCTCAAATGACGTATCAGGTATGATGCCCAAATATATCAACAATTTCAGGGCTACCGTCTTTCTATCAATCTTTTCCATTGCCTGCACGCCTTGGAATATTGTCAGGAATGCGTCAGGTTTACTTGCCTTCCTCAGCGGCTACTCCTGCCTCATGGGACCTCTTGCAGGCACAATGATCAGCGATTACTACCTTGTCAAGAAGAGTAAGCTCGACGTCGATCAGCTATACACCTCTCATGGTATCTACTGGTATGATTATGGCTGGAACTGGAGAGCCTGGGTGTCTTTTCTTACGGGTGTCGCGCCCCTCTTGCCGGGCTTTGCGAAAAGCATCGATGGTACACTTGAAATCAGTGGGGCATGGAAGATTTACACATTCGCGTGGGCCTTTGGAATTTGCCTCTCGACCTCCACACACTATGTGATTTGTACGTACATTTCTGTGCCGACAAATTCACTGGCTGAGTTCGCTGTATACCCCCCACAGCTCGAAGATGTCGCATCGTCTGTTCTCGAAGGCGAAGAAGTCTCAACCAAGGAAACAACGGTTGCGAAAGCGAAGGAAGTAAAGCAAGTAGTTTAAATAATTATTACTAGAAATCTACGCCAGGAATAGTTTCGTCCTTGTGGAAAAATGAGGCCGCATCAAAGAAAATTTTGTTCCTATGTTATCGTTTTTGCAATGCCCATGTCTTTGGCCACCATGAAGTTGACATTGCTCTTAATGATATAGCTGATCAATCCCTGCTCGATCGGCGCTCTGGTTGGCTTGGCTTTTCCCGCTTCTTATCGCGTGCCTCAACGACCTCTCAATTAGTTCACTCTCATCGTTGATGGTCAAGCAGACGACCACTGGCTCAATGGTCTTCACTACGACGGTGGATAGTTAGATCCGACATGCACCAAGAATCAAGGTTGTTTTAATGAACTATGTTCGTAGCGTATTGGGGAGCACCAAAACAAGCCACCAGGCTTTGCTTGACCGGATATGAATCAGTCACAGCAACAATATCAACCGCAGACTAGGATCGCCAATGCCATCGGATTCCATCTATCGCACAGAAGGCTGTATACCCCAAATCTTTACCAGCAGTCATGGAAATTATCCCGGATGAGATTTTCGCACCAAGCCAATTCTTCCCGCAAGCAATCAACTCCCAAAACGCTCCCAAAGCAAGATCACGACGCCCATGCGACCCTTGTCGTCGGCGCAAGTCACGATGCGAGAAACCAGATGATCATCAACCCTGCCTTCTGTGTCGCTTTCACCACCAGGAATGCACATTCAACGAGAACCCGCCACCGCGAAAACGACGAGCACTAACGATCAACGCCAGCCCAGAGCTCAGCGAACCTATCCCAAATCCATTGGCATATTCACCAAACAGTCGCAGGAGCAGTACTGCTGCGTCTACATCACCTCACAATGCGCCCGCGACGATCCGTCAGGATCCACCAATAGACGATTACGCGAACCTTCGTGGTCCCTCACTCCTGAAGAAGACACTGGGCTTGCAGACTGGTAGGCACAGCCGCCTTCTTGGGTCTACCTCAGAGTATGAAAAATACCTACTTGCATATGAACCAACTCAAGGCCTTCAAAATCCTGGTTCGTCTGCTGGACTATCTACGTTGAGGCGAGTGGAGGATATAGGCGCCACAACATTCATCACATTGCCCGATGTCGGCTCACTCAACCACCAGCATGATATCCCAGATCTAGATGCGATAGAAATATCTGTCGCACCTCACGGATCCCCTTTGATCCACCTATACTTCCGAATTGTCCACCCTAGCTTTCCTATCTTGCATAAGAAGGTCTTCCTAGAAAAGTATGCACGCACGCACAGGGAGTTTTCGCCACCTCTTCTTGCTGCAGTCTATCTCCTAGCCCTGGACTGGTGGTCGTATTCGAGTGAGTTGGCCTCACTACCGAAACCGGATGTGTCTTATCTCGAGGAGCTAGCCATGAGATCGTATTGTAATATTATCCATCGGCCCAAGCTCTCGACCATACAGGCAGGTTTACTGCTTCTCCAGCGACACGAGGGGAATAGCTGGGCGATGACGACGCAACTTGTTGGCCTTGCTCAAGACATGGGTCTCCACCTCGACTGCACAGAATGGCACATTCCAGGCTGGGAGCGGGGGCTTCGAAAGCGCCTGGCGTGGGCTATATACATGCAGGACAAATGGGGCTCTCTCATCCATGGCAGACCCTCGCACATCACACCATCAGACTGGGAGGCGCAACCACTCAACGAATGTGACTTCCCTGAAAATGCCGCAGATGAAGACGACGAAGACGGAAGCACAGAGGTGGAGAAAGGTCGCATCTTATTCTGCTACATGGTCGAGCTCACAAAGATTCTGGCAAGCATCCTAACAACCTTTTACACGATCAAGGCTGAACGCGAGTTTGCTTGCCATGCGAGTGAAGGCGTGCGCTCGCTTCTCGACACTGCAAAGCCGCTGCAGCTTGCCCTGCGTCAATGGTATGCCGACATGCCGCCAACCCTCAAAATGCAAGACATTGCTGCGAGAAAACTTTCTAGTGTAGGCTATCTTCACCTCGGCTATTATGCCGTCGAAATGACGTTACATCGGCGTATCATCCGCTCTTTGTCGTCGGCAGATGATGCAGAGCTGTGCTTCATCTGCCGGCAAGCAGCACAAACACGACTCACTTCGGCCATGAGATTTGTTCAGTCCCTGCGGCCTGAGCACCACCAATCATTCTGGTACTCTGCGTCAAAGTACAGCTTTGTCCTCATCGGTTCATTCATATCTCTCTTGTGGGTGACATCCAATACTGAGGACGAAGCAACCCAGTACCGAAAGAAGCTAGATGAATACAAGTGGATGCTGCGCTTGTCGAGTAAATCAGCAGATTTTCTCGGGTCTGCACTGACGTTGCTCAACAATTCGACTGTCGCATTGGTAAACAAAGTGGCTGAAGATTTCGATACTCGCGGTGCAAAGACAGCCGGTCTGCTGGTGACGAGAGGTGCGACTTCTGCGGCAGCGGGCCTTGCTCATTTGGATACAGTTCGATCTACGCCTCCTGATTTAGCGCTCGCCGGGGCCGAGGTCCGTGACAGCACTAGAGGCACGCCTCTTGATGGAAACAGCATGGACGAGCACTCGTGGTTCCAAGCGCTGACGGAAGGCGAGTTCCATGGCGCATAACGGAGCACAAGATGGACTCATAGCAGTGTGAGTGAGTGTTGATGTGCCAATGCGGCATTTTGTAGAGTAAACTTTGTTTTGCTCCGAGGAAACGATCTGTCAAATCGAGACCTCGCATTGAATTGAATACATTGGAAAGAGTCCGAGTGCGATCGATTGGCCATGACCAACCTACTGGTGATGCATTTCAATTGTGCTTATTCATGAAGCGTATCTCTTGATTCGCCAACTCCCACATGGAACCCGGTTAGCCCCAGCCTCGAAAGAGTCAGGGTACCAAAGACAAAAGTCGGCGCGTCGGAATGTCGGAACACAGACGCCAGAGATCTTCCTTGGCCCAGGGCGAATCATCGTAAACAAGGCTGATTGACAAATGCGGACCCGCGATTCAAGTCTTGTGTAGCAATGAATGGGGGAGATGACAAGGAGTGCACCCATATACTTTGGCGCTGTAAACTTTACCACCTCTAAAATTACCAGAACAAAAGGCGCATCTAGCCTCACACGCAGAATGACGCAGAGAAATTTGAAGGGCTACATTTATAATTTTCTCGTTACAGAGAGGACGAAGCGGAAAAAGCTGCAGCATGGCAGTTGATCGCACGTGCGTTGTAGTCAAGCCTTTGGGATCAAAGGACCCAAAGGCGTCTCTCTCCACCATCCTAAATCTGCTGGATGACTTAACCCACATCTCCACATCCCCCACCCCAAAACGAGGGGTAAAATAGACGTCAAAACAAAAACAAAATCTACTGAGATAATTGACATCCTATTGCATAGCCAGGGCGTGAATCACGGAACCATACGTAAACCATTATCTGCACAATGTGCCAAAATCCCGCAAACATTTCTTTTTTTCCTAAGCCGTCCCGTTGAAAAGGAAAAAAAGCACTGCGGAGCTTTTTTCGCAAGAAACATCCGAGCGAAAACAAAAACAAAGGAACACACGCGCTTGGTTCACGAAATAGTTACCAAAAAGGAGCAAAAGACAGGATATCCGACGTCATTATTATCCGCCCACAAACAACTAGCAACATACGCTATCACTGCACCCACGGTTTCCATATACTTGCTTTATCCCGCACGACTCCCACATACGCAAGGAGCACAAGGCACAGACAGAGAAGAAGAAAAGGGGGAGAGGCGGACTACAAGCGGTCAAATCCCAGTTTAGTGAAGCGGAGAAATAAAATGCACCATGCGCTCATCACTTTCGCTCCTTCGCACCCTGTTTACTGGGGGGTAAAAGAAAAGATAACAACCCTGTTAGATGCACGATGTTTCCAGGGTACCGGGGTACCTAAAAAAACATGCAGGGTCCGTCACATCCGCAGCGCGCCGCCGGGTGTTCCTATTGGGTGAGGAGAAAGAAAAAAGAGGGAAGAGGGAGAGAGGGATAGGTGGTTATTGTGATTAGCAATCCCCTGCCAAAAGAAGTGCCACGCGGACACAAAGGTTATTTCACGTGGTGGACAAAGGCAATAAAAGAATCAAGGAACGTATAGCACTAGAAACTTGGAAATCAAGGCATTTTGGAGAGAACATCAAAGTGTACAAACATTTATCATTGCGATCGTAATTTGCTAAAACAGTAAAACTACATAGTAAAATGATGATTCAAGAACCTAGCAGTTCAAATCGCTGATGAATTAACCATCAGTAGTGGGGGGTATCATCTTTTTTTCTCTCTCCTGATTTGAGCACTTCATTTCAGAACCCGTTGCGCCAGATATCCATGCGCCTTTGTGCCCGCTAAAAAAATCATATAAGCCATAGCCACGTTGCAGTCGTGAATACGTCAAACAAACATCAATAAGGTGATAGGTTGAAGAGGTATGAAAAACGTCATCGTAAAGGCTCGACCTCACGCCCAGGTCTTGGATGTATTGAGACCAAGCTCAAGATGCTGGGCGATAGCAGACGCAAAGTCGCCGTTTACATTTGACGAATGGCGGCGACGCTCACGGCGTATTTGGTGTTCTGCTTCCATGAGACGCTCCTGGATCCAGGCGCGCTGCTTTTCATCGTTGCGGATACAGTCGGTATTGAGGAGCTCAGTAAGAGTGGCCACAATCTGCTGGTTGATCTCAGCAAGCTTTTGAGACTCTTCCGTGTGTATGTCGTCGACACTGGTACGTGGGGTCGCGTTTGTCCTGGGGTTGATAGGGATTGGGTCACTCGCTGTTGAAAACGGCGAGGAGTACTTCGAGGACGTAGGAGATGACGAAAGAGATTGAAATTCGGGTGAGCTGGGAGTCATAGGTGCGTTGAAGGGAATCTCCATGGCCATACGGCGTTGGAGAGCTTCTTTCTGCGCGGAGAGCAGCATGTACTTTTGCATCGATTGATGCTGGACGCAAGTGTTAGTACATACTGCTTCATAGATTACCATAGATGCACTTACCCGACACAAAGCGGGCCTCGACATGGGGCTCATAGTGTCGTTCAACTTAGTATCGTCTGACATTTGCATTGTTGGCGGTTTGCAAGGTTTGGTTTCTGATTGTGTGGGGATGTTAGGCCCTGATAGATATACTTCTTGATAATGCCAAGAGCGTTGCGTGGTGGGAGATCGGCAAGGCCCTAGAAAGGTGGGTACCAAAGCCTAATCAGTGTGTGGATCGAAGTGGAGCCGGGACGACAAGGTGATGCTGCTGTGAAGCCTTGGTGACGGTGACGCGCAAGCTGTGGGACGAGAGTGGTTTATGATGGTTTGATTCCAGAGATTGTTTGACAAAGAAGGACAACCTCAAGCTTTATGGCCATCAAGCAACTTAACTACTTTGCAACGAGAGCTGAGTAGGCCATGACGTCCGGTGGGGAGAGCCCATCCAAGACATGGCGCGGCTGAATCCGCCCTTCCAGGCTTTGAGCAGCCGCGCACGTTTCGAGCTACCCAGTTAGGATAGCCAGGGGCTTTCGGTGGGTGGTATTGTGATTGGTAGAGTCGTCCCTTTTGTTGATCTGCATGTGTTGTGAGGGGGCGGCTAAGCGAAATCACGTCACCGGTAGGGACTTGAATTAGGACCCTCGGAGTAGAATCGCGATCGTTCAAACAAGCCCACTGATAAGTCCCAACGAAGATCGTGATTGCGTGCTGTACCTGCATGGCTGTTGAGAAAAACGTTAGTGAGTTGCCTCTCACAGCTCAAAAAGTGAAGATAACGACACATGTCTGTATGCAATTTTCTCAGTGCCATCACAATTCCATCATGGTGCGAAATTGCCCATGCGTTACAAGAGATGACGTCGGGCTAAAACCCGAATTATCCCAGCCGCACATCTCGACAAAGGACCCCTGGCATAGTTCAGACACGCCTCACAAATCACCATCAGCTTATCGAATAGATGCCCATGTAAGACATTCAGCTTGAGCTTCCAGCCAGGTTAGAGACATCCGGATCACTGAGCACAGCATCTGATTGCTACGATTGCAGGCCTACGTGATTATGGGGCGGAAATCATGTTTGAACGCCACATTTGTGGCTCAGTCTCGCACGTGTGCCGGGTTCCGGCTTAGCGGTGACGTTCCTGTCCAACCCTTCAGCACTAATCATATTCCACGGATGAAGTGCCTCGGGTTGTGACCATAGACACGGCTTCTAGATGAAGGTCCAAATCCTTCGCTGATGCAACGTACCGCACGTCACATGAAAACGCCACGTTGGAGTCGCACATGGGTAATGAGGTCTGTAAAGGAATGTGCTGCAATCTAAGTGGTACGCGGTGATGCGATCAGGGAACCTGCATGGAATTCCCGGCCTTTCGTTTAGAGAGGCGTCAAATTTGCGAGCACCTGCAGATTTCGAAGTCCGTCACTTCCAGGTGTACGTGTCTTTCGGCATAGGCATGTTTAGGCTGATAGAATGCTTTACGTCCAAAACCAAGCCTTGGTTGGATGGGAGTAGAACAACTGATGTAGTAATTTCGAAAGTCTCAAAAAGACGTACAAGAACGTCACTCTTCGGTTGCCTGTCGCTCCAACCAGAAACCTTTGCCATAGCTGATGACAATTTCCTGACCACGGGCAATGCCCTTTGCCCTTTTGCCACTTTTGCCAGCACTGAGGACGAACACGCCGACTCGCTTCTCCACCTTGCCGTTTCCGCAGTCCACATGTATATCGCGAAACTCGGCATTGGGCGCGGACGAGACTCCTCGGTAGTCGTTGATGAAGCGGGCTTCGTTGCCCATCACCGACGCATCGACGCCGATACCGAGTTCTCTGTCTAGTGAGAGGTCGTAGTCGGATGTTTCATTGGTATCAGTCTGATCGTGAACATAGCCTAGATATGGCAGGATGAACGAGTCTGGGGGGAGCTGCTGGTTAGCACAGAGAGCATGTTGCCCAAACGCTGGATGAGCAGAGTCTGTGACTGGGGTAATCTTGACATTGGTGTATGGTCCACTAGGTTTGTAAATTGGTACATTGGGGTCCAAATGGAATTTTGGGAATACGACTGTCATGAGCTTCTCACGGGAGAGCTTCTTTGAGTATGAAGGGGCATGGAGGTAAATGGCATGTCCGTCCCATCCCTTTGGTACGGCGGGTTGGGTTCTTGGCATTCTACAACGGAGCCGGAGAGGCCGTCCGATGGCTAAGAGACTTGGAGGCGCGGTTGACACGTTAGTTTCCGGTGATGGCGGTGATGGCGTCTGAGCAGACAAGAGGTGTCGGAGGCAGATTCTGGATAGGTGGCGTTGGGGAAGAACAATGGCGTCCGGTGAGTTGGCAGCATGGAAGAGCAAGGCTGCTCGTGCTGCCTGAGGGGCGAGGGGCTCTTGCCTGGGCGGCGTGACTTCGGGACAGGGGGGCGACTAGCGCGCGCCTGGATTTCCCTCACCGTCAATACCACCTTCACCAACACGACGCTACGCCTCACCATTCTCACCGCGATTCGACACGCTTTGTTGGACCCAAGGAAATGACCACCGCTTGGGGTAAGTCCGCACATGGTAGTGGAGATCGAGATGCTCGTGTTACGCGGTGCACTATGTGCTGCTTAACATATTTCGATATAGGTAAGCCGATGCCGCGATCAATGCGTAAGAGCTTACTGCTACTGTAGCGCCCACTAGATCCATGCGCCGCTTGAGGCGATACTGGATGCGAGATTACACGGTTCCGCCTGAACGTGTTACCGCTCGTCAGCCGGTGACGGATCACGCCTGACCCGACTTACTGCAGAAGAAGCTTGTCAAAACGACTACAGCGTAGAAGCCACGCGCAACTACAGCCTTACTCTGACGTCTGACAAAAACCACTCGCTCTACTTGGATATGTATATACAACGCTCCGCCAGGCTACCACTGTTATGTATGTGCAACACAAGTGTTCATACGGCTATGTACCAGCAACCAGCGCATGTCGGTCGGTCCTTCGCTCGATTAGTCAAAGGTCTAGAAGCCTGCAGCGATGCAGGAACCCGTCAATATCCACTGGGAGCATGGACCAATGACATTGCATCGACAGTTACAGACGGCTTGAATTCGCGCCCTCTCCTTTCAGCAGGTGGCTATTTTTGCGCGCACGCGGGGAGGCCCCTCGATATGTCAATGAGTGGACACAGCGAATCTCGGGGCTGACGGGCCTCGGGTGTGTCGCAATGCTAGCCCTTCGAGATGGTCCCTCAACCGTCGCTTTGTTCAGGTGTTCAGTGATGGAGCCAAGAGCGGTGTGGCCTACAGATGCCACGACGCGTAACTGAATCCACTTGACCAAGACGCTCAACATTGGCGTCGCCCTCTTGCATGTTTGTGCAGCCCGCATCTCTGCCGTCCTGCGGCTGGCGACCATAAGCTTCAGGAGAATCGCGCCTAGTGGGTGATTGAGCAGATTCGGCGTGCACAAGTCGCTCACTAGCCGACAGGGCTCCCGAAAGAGTTAGCATGGGAGTCGAGATCCTGAGACGACATGAGTCGCTTGGTAGGGAGGATGTCAAGCTCATTTCGTTTCTTTCCAGCATCCTCGCCCTAATTGGCTCGCCCAGCACGTATCAATAAACGACTCATAACGGCGGCCAATGTCGACGCTATCCACCACCTCCCCCTATTCCGTACTGTTTCCACGCACAGCCCGCACCGCGGCGCTACCCCGACGCCACGCTAAAACTCTTGTGATGCTACCGAACGGAGACGGCCACGTCCAAGTGCCCCTGTTGATGGGGGTGAGCATTCTCGGCAAGGTCAGGTCGTGTACAGTTGTATATAATGTCTTCCCCAGCGGCCTCTTGAATTTTTTCTCTACCACACACTCACTACACTCGCTAATACCCGGTTATCACCGATTACATTCGTTCTCTACGACCTCCTCCGCCCCTACTTAATACCAACCGTATTTAATACCAACCCCCTCAACACTCAAGATGCGTTCCTTCGCCGTTGTTGCTGGCTTCGCCGCCGTTGCCCTTGCTGCTCCTCACTACGAGGCTTACCCTGCCGAGTCCTCTCCTGCTGCTGCCTACCCAGCCAGCTCTGCTCCCGCCGCCTACCCAGCCAGCTCCGCTCCTGCTGGTTACCCGGCTAGCTCTGCTCCCGCTGGTTACCCTGCCAGCTCTGCTCCTGCCGGCTACCCTGCCAGCTCTGAGGAGGCCTACCCCGCTGAGACTCCCTCTTCCCCTGCTGGCTACCCTGCCGTCACCCCCTCGGCTCCCGCTGTCACCACCACCGAGGTCATCTCCGCTACCACCTACGTCTGCCCCGAGGAGACCACCATCACCTACGGACCCAGCACCTACACCGTCCCCGCCAGCGGCACCCTGAGCATCCCTCAGTACACCGCTACCTACGTCCACACCCCGGTGCCTTCCGTCCCGGCTCCTGCCAAGTCCACCCCCGCTGTCCCCGTCCCTGCCGTCAGCAAGCCCGCCTACACTCCTCCTGCCTACTCCGCCGTTCCCCCGGCTCCTCACTACCCTGCCACCAACGGCTCCACCCCCGTTGTCCCCGCCGCCGGCACCGCCACTGGCAGCGTCCCCACCCCTACCAAGACTGCTCCTCCCCAGTTCACTGGTGCCGCCGGCAAGGCCACCGTTGGCTTCTTCGCCATCGCTGGTGCCGTCGCTGCTTTCTTGTAAGCACCTCGCTCTTGAGTGGTTTGTTGTGACATGACTTGTCGTGTCGCTACTGTCTATTCTTGAGTTCGGAAAGAGGAGGGTGATTAACAATATGGCTTCACGGGTTACGACTTTAACTCTGCATCACGATTCAGTCCAGGATTGGGAGCGCCTTGGTTGTTGTACGAACCCCTGCTTCCTTGCGCAATTCTGTCGCAGCAGCATTTCGATGGAGATATAATACTTGGTATTGTAATACGCATTGGTTGGAATGCTTAGTCGCCCTATGGAGGGAGTCGTGTGGTCCAGGTGGCCTTTCTTGTTCATAGATTCTTTGGCTGTATTTTGAAAAGAATAGGCAACACAATTAACAGTAGACCACCTATATTATACCTTTGGATCTATCTCCTATTCTCTGCTTGTGATGTCTTGACTTTTGTGATTGTTCAATCTTGGTGACGTTTGCACTTCCGCTCTTCTCCCAGTCCCCCGATCTGACCGCCCTTTTCTTCGGCCATCCTTGACTTCACTCGATCCTAAACGCACCCCTATGCCGAAATAGTAGATATCCCCGGCCCGCCAGCACGACATCTCCGCTCAATCCAATTCGCCGCAACCTCCCCCCTACTAGATACTTGTCCTACCCGCCTGTCCACAGCCGGCAACAGCTCGCTCACCCATGTAATGCTAATATACAACCAAGGCCAGTTACTTCCTTACCTACCCTCGGTGCTTACTCGCCTCTTCTCCTCTCTACCCCATCCCCTTCCGAGCGAGCCACCGCGTTTGTCTCAAGTTCAGGCACCAACGAAGCGGAAAAATCCCCCCGAGATGAACGGCAAGGACGTGGATTATGTGCAAATCAAAAGGGAATCAAGTTGGTTAGTTAGGTTCTAACATCATGTCACAGGTGTACAGTTGAAGTAAGCTTTTTTTGTTTTTTTTTCAGCTCGGACATGTGTGTACCCTTTTGTTTTCTTTTCTGTTGTTTGTTTGTTTTGATTTTATTTTTCCGGGAGAAAGGTGACGTAGGGGGGGGGGACACGGGACGGAAGAAATGTCCCCTCCCTTCTTATTCTTTTTTGTTGGGCGCAGATGCAGGTGCAGGGCGGCGGGTGGATGAGGCGTTGAGGTGGGGGGCGCGTAGGCAGGGTAAAGGGTGGCGGTGTGCGTTGATAGGTGTGTGTGGGTGTGTGTTGGTGTGATTTGCATAACTTGTGTATCTATGACTTGCATGCATACGTACAGTATGTGAGGTATTATACAACTATCGAGCAGTTACTATAGCTATACGACAATATAGCTCATATGAAAGTATGGCCAGTAGATGGGCTTGCTGGGCAAGGCCGCGGTGCGAATATCTATCCATCTAGCTAGTTAACTGCCGAGCGGAACAATACCGTCTTCTTCGGCGGGGTTTTTTTTCTTGGGAGAGATTTGGCGTAGAGATTGTTGGACAGGCGTGGCTTACCGCTTTTTGGGGCTTGGTCGTGACGATGGAAAGTTAGTGCTTATACTACTATGCTTCATTTTCTGGGATTGGAGGGTCGATGATACGTCCGTTGTTTAATGCCTTGGGCTGGTTGTTGTGGAAGACGCAGGTACAGGGTTGATGTCACATGTGTGATGGGATTAGGAGATGAGGTTGTTGTATATTGAACTCTAACTAGTAATCGGATGTTTTTGGGGAAGTGGTAGTACAAAGGCGCGCACCCTGGTCCCCTTGATCCCCCCCTCATCACAAACGCATCCTACGTACTCCAACTAATTTTCCTCCTCGATTTCAACACACGCATGGTAGTTCTTCATACAAGGGCGCTTCACTTAATTCGGCGAACCTTGTCGGCACCTCGCACCGCTCTTGCCACAATCGCTCGCAACGCCGTAGTCGCAGCATCCTCCGCTTGAGTTGCACTGGTATGCGTGGGTACTGACGCGCTTGGTGCGTATCGCATACGTGCCGGCGCCGACGACGCAGTTACCGCAGTAGACGCCTGCAGCAAGGCCGCTGACACAGGCGCAGCCGTTGTAGCTACATGCTCGTTTGTCAAGAGGGAGGCTGTCGCGGTTGCTCAGGGTGGGGTTGCTGTTAGCCTCTGGTGATGGCGAGGCAAGTGCCGTAATGGCGAATAGTAGAGAGAGGGTGTATTGGAAATGCATTGTTTATTTTTTTCTTCCTTCCTGGGCGTAAATCTTGGGAATTGGTGAGTATCGAGATCAAAGGGTGAGTCAGCTAGATAAAGTGTTTATTGTTTGCTATGCGGGACGGGAACGACGTTGCTGTTCACAAGTATCGATTTGGAGTACAAACGCTGATTGGATGTGTCGTCGTATTCTTCGCTTTCGAGCTGCAAGCCACCAATTTTTCAGCTGAACGTTGCTAGTTAGATCGTGTCCTTGCTGTGACGTTGATCGTGTGGAGTTTTCCATAGCATCTTTTACACCTTCCAATTAAAGCCTTGGTCTCGAATCAACGACAGTAGTACGATTAACACAGGCCTGTGTTGACCATATCGCGACACTCTCGATCCCACCGGTTAAAAAAAGCGTTGCGTTGAGTCACCATTCTAATTCCTTAGCACCCATGTTGATGCACGACATGTACTTCATTACTTTTCTGTCCCCTGGAAATACAAAACATCACCTTTAACGAAGCCATCTCCAACACCTGTTTCTTGTCCCCAAACTACACGGACTTCCCCATACATGTACATTTCAAATATAAACACTCCGTGTACATGCATGAATCGCCTTGAGTGAGGCTAGGTCTATGACTTATTGTTTTGCATCTATTTAGTGTACATCATGTCACAATATTTTTTTTTCCTCCGAAAACAACGACGGACCNCCCCCCCCCCCCCAAAAAAAAAAAACTACCGGAATCGGGATATTTAAAAAAAATTAGGCTAGATCGATAGGCATAACCGAAACGTACATCCTCATGTAACTACTTGCATTGACCTTCAAACACATTTACACCTGCACCATCGAATCTGTTGTGTAGAACAATACGTTTCTACACGCAACCCAAAGAAGACGAAAAGAAAATATTGGAAGTCTCCATGTCCAACTACTCTATTATTTGATTTTCCAAAGTTAGAAAAAAGTGACATAGAATCGTCAAGTTAACATCTGACATCGCTTTAAAACATGTCACACTCGTTGCCACCATTTCACGCAACCCATACATTATCATGTGCTGTTGAATCGTAAAAGCACATCATCGGTTCTAAATAGCGACCTGACTTCTTCTTCTTCTTCTCAGATAACACAAAGATCCCTATACACCCCACCATCGCAGAGTGCAAGCAATGAACAAGAAACCATTGATCTAGGTAATCTACCTCATACCATCTTATCTTTGAAAAAAAGGACTTTGGTCTAAGTGAAAAGAGAGAGAGAGAGAGAGAGAGACCCTTCTATACCCGGAATCACTTGCAGAAAAAAAAATGGACGCCAGAAAACGCCATCGTACATGACCTCGTAACCAAGCGTAACCCACCCTCTCATGTGCATGGTAAAGCTTACAAGAGCGTATCACCAAGTGCACACCTAACAATCGACACACCGGCACGCACGGTATCGCCTGCACCCTCGGCGTCAAGGCTAGGATTGACCTCGACAAGATCAAGCGCAATCAGCGAGCCCGTCTCGGCAACGCACTCGGCGATGAAGTCGCCTTCTCTTAGCGTGAGACCGCCACGGACAGGCGTACCGGTGCTGGGTGCCCACATGGGATCGAGGGCGTCGACGTCAAAGGAGAGGTGGATGGGGGTATCGCTTCCGATCCAGCCCAGCGCCATATCCATGACCTTGCCGATGCCGTGCCTGTTGCAAAGAGAGGGGGAGATATCAGCCACGGTACATTCAAATGCAGAGTCAGAAACTTACCTGTCGATATCGTGCATAGAAAACGCCTTGATGCCATGCTCTCTCAGAATCTTCTTCTCTCCCTTGTCGATATCCCGTAGACCAATGTACACAAGCTTTTTCAAGCTGAGTCGATGCTCCTCTTTGATCCACCCGAAAACATCGTCGCGGTCTTCAGTCGCAAGGCCCGTTAGGAAAGAAACAGGCATGCCGTGAATATTACCGCTGTCAGACGTCTCAGGCGTGTTAATATCAGCATGGGCATCGACCCAGATGACTGCGATTTCCCTGCCGAGACGCTCGCGGATGGCTTTTGCGGTACCGGAAATGGTGCCGATGGCGATGGAGTGGTCGCCGCCGAGGGTGAGGACGAGCTTGCCGTCTTTGGCGTGCTTGTACACCTGGTTGCTGACTTCGCGGGTTACGGCGCTGGCGAACTTGGGGCGCTTCATGCCTCGGTAGTCAGGGTCCTCGGTTGGCTGGAGCTCAGAGTAGTTGTGGACCTGGCCGTCGTAGGTGACGTTGTACTCTAGGTCTTCTTCTAGCTGCTTGATGAGGCCGTTTTCGATGAGGGCCATGGGGGCGGCATCGACACCAGCTTTGGGCTGGACATGGTGTTGTTAGTTGCTGGTACAGTGTACGTGTAAGATTGTTGTGTAAGAAAGGCTTACCTGACCGCCACTGAAGCCGACCGCGACGATACCCAGCTCATGCCGACTAGGCAAGAAGTTGGGCTGTTTTGTTGGTGCAGAAGTCATTTTTATTTACTGAAAAGGTATGTTAATACGGTCGTTCACAGTGTTTTGTGCAGGAGAGTCGAGTGTGCAGAATGTTTGTTGTTCAAAGTTCCTCGTTGCGGAAGTGCGACTCGGAAACCTCCAGCTTGCCAAAAGAAAAGAAAAGAGATAAAACAAGACCACGTCTGAACGCAGGAGCATGGAGGTCTTACCTGGCGTTGATTTGCTTTAGTACGGCAGGACACGATATATAGTGGGGGGATTTCAAAAGATGCTAAAGTAGCTGTCCAAATATCCAAGACTCCTCTACCAAGACTCAAGTCTAAGGTATTCAACAAGATAAATAAATAAAAAGGAAACCGCGAGATGCGAAGATAACACGACAACAAAAGCAGGGCAGAGACGCGGGGCGCCCTTTTTATCTCTGGCACGGGTCTCGGTTGTTAGGTAATTATGTGTCGCTGATTTTTCGTGGCCATCGTGTACACCTGTACTTAGGGGAAGAGCAACTTGAGGCTCTCGTCAAATTTATCACTTAGGGGAAGTAGTCGGGCCCGGAAGGTCTGGTAACAGATGGTGCGGGCCCACCACTAAGCAAGAGGGCCGAGGCAAGCCATGTCGCTTTAGGTAGGTGGCATGTTTGATCACTTTTGCAGAGAGGGCTAGAAAGCCGAGGAAACACAAAAGTGCTTGGGATATGCGCAAATGGAACAGAGCATGTATGTGTTGTAAGTATAGGTTACTTGTAAATGTGTGGGTGTAGGGCAATTGAGGCGGGCCAGGCAGACGGACGGGATGCCGTGTTGCGGGCACAAGCACGAGTGGGATGGATTGCATTGGCGCTAGTCCGTGCTGGGAAACGGCGGGTGCAGTCGGCTTTGCGCCCATTTTCCTACGCTTCAGCCGCTGCCGCCGCCGCCCTGGCCGTTGTTATCTTCGCCCAGCTGCAGCCTCGCAACACCTGACCTCTGGTTATACACCGATTGCATAATTGCCAATACCCTTATATCCACTATCGCACAATGTCGGGTCAAGCTATTCGCTTTGTCGCTGCAGTGGCGGCCAGGCCAAGTACGGGCACCATTCAGTTACTCTGTCATGTGAAGCCGGGTGTCAGTGCGAATCGCGAGGGTATTGCTACCGTTTCAGACGAGCGCATCCAGCTGTGTGTGGCAGCCCAGGCGAGAGACGGCGAGGCCAACAAAGCTGTGAGGCGAGTCGTTGCTGATGCGCTCCGAGTACCAAAGTCGGATGTCGAGGTTATCAAGGGTATGAAGAGCAGGGATAAGACGGTGGCTGTTCGGGCAAGTCTCCTAGAAGCGCCCGAAGAACAAGTCGAAAGGATAAAAGTTATGCTACAAAAAGTTTCCGGAACTTAAATACAATATTGTTCTTTTGGGTTAGCAACAAAACGAGTCCAGTAGTAGAAAATCACTGGTATCACGTAAGAATTCAAAAAAGTCAAATCTTGCCAGTTCTTAACTTATTATCATTATACGACTGTCATGTACAAGTCATTAAGGAGCGTTGTATATACACCATAGCTATATCCATTCCTCCGCGAAATTACCAATTACGTTAATGTATCCATGATACAATACGATCGTTCTATATGTACTTTTGTTTGGTATGAATCGAATCGCAAGGGCAAGGCATCTAGTATTGCCAGGCGCCAGGGGCATCGACGGGAGCTATTCACAAGACGTTAGTAATCTGCATGTTCCAAAAAGAGTAGACTAGAACAAGGTTCAAACTTACCGGCAATGGCGCTGAATGAGAGGCACTCGTCGCTGAAGGTGACGTTGTCGAGCTTGCCGTAGACCTTCCATCCATCATCCTCGGAGCCAGGGCAGGCAAGGAAGCCGCAGTCCCAGTTCAGGTAGCCAAACTCGTCGCTGTTGGGAGCTGGGGTGCGGCTGAAGCCGGTGACGGTCGAGCCATCGGGGATGTAGGCAGAGTGAGCGGTGGTGTAGCTCAGGGAACCGTCAGGGCCGACGTAGACCTGCTGGCCACCGGGAACAACAACGCCGAGGCTGAGAGTGTTGTTGCCACCAGCAAATGTGGTCGTGTTGCCTGGTGGGCAATTCTCAGCACCAATGACTTCTGAAGGGCAGTAGGAAGATGGTCCTCCCTTTCCACCAAGGTAGAAGAATCCGCCGCGGGCGTTCAAGTTCTGGAAGTGGATGGGAGAGGCGCTGCGTTGAGAGATGACGGTGAAGTAGGCGCTGGTGTCTGCTTGCCTAGCAACAGGCTGAACAGCGGTAGGAGCTGCCATGGCGGCAGCGAAGAGGGAGGCAAGAGCAGTGGTGTACTTCATCTTGACGGTGTTGATGTTTGAAAAGCTGGAGACAAATAGGTGATTGTAGATGATTAGGTATTAGAGTCGAGGTGTTGTGAAGTGGTAGAGCTGAGTTGATGGTCCTGCTGGAGGTGTCATGGACGTCTCTTTATATTACACACAGGGCGGGACCATGCAACATGATCTTTCATCATCGCATGGAGCCGTCTTGCGTGTATGCGGAGTCGCTTGCGCGCCTATCCAGAGCACACAGCCCTGTCTCTGGGAGAGGAACCCTGGTCACACGTGACTGGCTAAGCTCATTCCACTGACGACTTGGGTCAAGATCAACCAACGCTAGCACAAGGATAGAGCAAATTCAGTGGGGCTACCCGCTGTGTTGTATTGAGATTGCCCAGAACAACCGTCGTACCCGACCCTTCCCATCCGAACACGAGCGACGGTGATGGTGATCTTCTCGTGTTGACTAGTACAAATGTTCATCAAGTCATGCGATGATGCAAGCAACCTCACTCCGTCGACCTCCGATGGAATATCTCTCTGCCAATGTTACGAAATGGCGGGATCCAAAGTGGAGAGTATGATGCCATTGGGTACCCGTTCGTTTGCGACGGTCGCTTTTGCTTGCTAGGCAGTCCTGGACGGGGATTTTGCATCCCGAGAAGACGGTGTCTCCCTAGCACTTCCCCTGCTCACCATTTTGCTATTTTGGTCCGGATGCCGGTGATATCACTAGCAAATATGGACGTGTTTGTGCTAGCTGGGGGTTGTGAGCCGATCAGCAGATGCGGCGACATTTCTGTGCAATCATCGAAATTGGTGGAACAAATTCACGACCCAGCCCATCGTCATACCGTTCCCCACTCTCGGGGTTGTGCCACACCCGTCTGGCTAGCGCTCCTACTGTTGCCATGCCCGCAGATAACTGTACTTGCATGCAATACTGAGTGCCTTTCGCCTATGTAAGCCCTCGTATTGCGCTTACGAGACCCTGCGCCTCTCTGGGGTAACGCTGATTGCCGCCCCTTGGGCATTAGCAATGTCACCTGCCATGGTTGTTTCTGCCGCAAGACCGCCACTGCCACCGTCTGGCCCTCGTACGAAGGAAGCGTCCTCGTAGCATCTCCGACCATGTCCGGAGCGGGTCCTTTGAAGCGCAAAACACAGGACCGTTTTGTCATGCCACATCGCAACCAAGGCATGTAGTGGTTAAAGAGCGCATGACATGTGACCCCTGTCAGCCAATATGGAGAAACTGCTTGATTTGGCCGCTCAACTAACAACAAAAGCTTGACAGACGGCTCGCATGGCTGCAACCGTGCGTTTCAATAGCCTACTTGCATGAACCATGATATGGGAACAGACTAGAAGGAGCGAGCAGCGGTGAATGTTTTGCGCCCAACTTCCAACAATAGAATAGAATGCCTCGAGGCTGCTATCGACCGTCTTCTACTACATCCACAGACAGAGCTTGCCACTTGCTGTTCCAGCGGCCACCCAGTCAAGCGTAGGGTGGAACTTTGCAACAGACGGTACTGCTGTAATACCATCGCCTCCCAGCTGCGCCAGCTGTTCGCCCTTTGCAGTGTATATGTCTACAAAGCGGTTCATGTTGCCAATGCAGAAGCGCTGCACATTGTCCTGAGGAAACTGTTGCCACTGGGCTCGTAATCTACACACATAGTAAGCATCATAGTTTGCAAGTATTGCATATATGGGCCGACAAACATTGTAACCCATCGCCCAGTCTGGTTGTTGTGCGGCACAATAACCGTAGGCTCCATCTCGGCTTCTTCCAAAGTCGTCCCGGCCTTCCAGTCAGCACAGTTCCCGAAATCATGGATTTTAATAGTGTCATCGTATGAAGCCGTAGCCACTTGACCAGCAGAGTTCCATGCAGCGTGTGAGACAGATAGCTTGCTAGTATGCTCACCAACAAGGGTCGGTAAACGATCGTCCCCCTTGCCTGTGATTTTGCGCAGATCCCAAATCTTCAAAGTACGGTCTAGAGAGGCCGTAGCTACGAGATGCGGGTGTAGAGGATGTAGAGTGAAGCCGCCAATCTTCTTATCCGACAACTGGAAGACTTGTAGTCCCGCTGCCTTTTCAGACGGCGTACGCATATCGTATATGCCGAATTGGCCGTCAAGCGTAGAAAAATATAGCGTGTTCGGATCATCCTTGGAGATCTCGAGCCCAGAGAGCGGTGCTTCTTCGCTTGCATCCGAGGGTGAATAAACTTCAATAGCAACCCCTTTTGCAAGATCCAACTTTCGTACCGTCGAATCATACGAAGCAGAGTATAGTGTGTTGGCATCGTGAGGGCTGAATTGGAACGTGTGTATTGTCCGTGTATGCGGCTTCAGGGTTGTGATGGTAGGCCCTTCTCTCTCCGTATCCTCATCATCTTCCACCTTGACCTCGGCGGCTTTCTGGGAAGCGTCGCATATGCCCAGGTTTCCAAGTTTGTCGCCAGCAAATACGAGAGGTTTGTCTGTTGTGGGATGCAGGCCCATAGAGTAGATGCGCTCGGGAGTGATTTTGATCTCATTAGGCTCAAAGTCCTCCCAAAGCTGCAGCCCACTCATGCGCTCTCGAAGTGCTCTCAGCTCTTTGTCCGTTGTTTCCTTTACGTCATTGTAGTCAAAAGTGCGCGCATATGGATCTGCTGGGCCAACAGAGAGAAAATTGCCGCTCTTGTTCCAGTCCTTGCCGGCGACCACGATGTCGCTGAAGTTGTATGCATCACTTATGCGCTGTCTCTTTGCGCGGTCGGCCTCCTTTATGGCAGCGTATTCGTCCTCTGCTTTGCGCTTCGCAACCTCACTGTCGGCCACGATGCCCCTTAGGCGTGACGACGTTCGACGCGGCGCAGTTTCTTCTTCCTTGATCTTCTTGGGCGCTGGCTTCTTGGTTTTTGGTCTCGATGGCACAGACGCCTTCGCCTTGCCTGTAGGCCCTAGACCTGCTTGCGCAGCCTCCATCTCAAGGTTGCGCAAGAGCGCCTGTGTCTTTGCGATATTTTCCTGTCTCTTGCGCTCATACTCGCTAACTTCGACATTTTTCCCGCGCGCCATGGCGGTCTTGTTTCTGTGATACGATATGATACGATACGATACGATACGATACGATGCGATGCGAAGGAAAGGACTGATTCGTCGGGGATCGACGCGCCGTCGCGAAGAGCAGTGATGGATACTGTGGATTACGATGGGGATGTGAACAAGGTGACAGACGAATCGCGTCCGGAATTGATTATCGCCTGCAAGATTTGCGGGACGTCCGATGTGTTCCTGAATATCGGGGGGGCGAAGTCTTCCCGCAGTGCAAGGGCAGCGTCATTGCCACTAGCGTAGACGCGGTCGACGCGTCAGTCACGTGCTGGCGCGTGCATCATCTAGATGCAGCCTTCAGCCTTAGGAAAGCCAATGGAGTGGCCAAGCTTCTCCAATGCGGGCGTGGGCGTGCAACGGCGGGATCTAGCGAAGAGCGGATCATGTTGTCTCCGATGCGTGCGCTTGTGTGCTCGCCTATGTATGGTTGTCAGCGCGCCATGGACCGTCGTTAGTGCAAGATGTGATCGATAGCGGTCTTGGCAGATTGGTCGAGTGGCCATCATCTTTGGCTATCGGCTGATCTGAACTTTCTCAATGCCAGATTCCACCACCATGGCACCCACACGCCTGGCCACTTTGCTGTTCGGGACGTGCCGAGCAGCCTCAATTCGCCCAGCCGCAACATGGCGACAGCGATGTCTGTATCACTCATACGATTACCCCTCGTCGCCACCATTCCCCCCCGCTGAAACGGCAATTCTTTCGTCTGCATATGCACACGTACCAAACCATGGCTTCACCATGAATGCCCTTAAGCTGGGCGCTCGAGATGCTGGCTACCTCGATATCTCTACAAATTTGCTTCCACGAGGCGTATTTGAACTGATCAATTACCATCTCGTCACTCAGCGATTGGCTTTGCAAAGCAATGTCCAGTTCCCCGAAGAGAGCGAGAACGGGAAGAAGATGGGAGCCGGCGCCAAGGTTAGGACGTTAACACTCGCACGGCTCCGCGCAAATGCACCCATTATTCACCGCTGGCAAGAGGTATGACTCTCATGGTGCACTTCCGCGGACAGTCGGCTAATGTTTTTCAGGCACTGGCAATAATGTCCCAGCCCACGTACGTCCCTGCTTCCATGGCCGAACTAGGCAAGCTCGCAGACGAAATATGGTTTCTGTCAGGCGACCAGAGTGTCGATAGTAGCTGGTACACGAAACGAGCGACCCTCTCGGCAATCTACTCGACCACAGAGCTGTACATGACACAGGATAAGTCGCATAATTTTGTAGAGACTGAGCAGTTTCTGGACAACAGACTGCAGGATCTGATGAAGGTTGGTGGCTTCATGGGCAGTCTGGGAGAATGGCTCAACTACACGGGCCATTCTGCCATCAATGTGCTTCGAAGTAAGGGAGCTCGTGTCTAGGCCGGATCTGCCTCGTCACCCAGCGCCAGATTTTTATTTTATTTTTTATTTTGATTGTGTAATAATATGTATAGTATGCAGGCGCATTTGCTCCACGGAGCCAGAATAGGCGACGAAGTGATAGAGGAGGGATCTCGATTGCGACTCTAAATGTTACAAAGATCGTACGATGAAGCGGGGGTTGAAGTGGACATCGCCGATGGACTACGTAGCAGCTTGAACGGCGCAGTCATCAATCACACGTTACTAGCTCACCACTGTGTTGCATGGTTCGCCCGGAATTTTTTCCCGGCGCCTTGACCTTGCCGAAGTTTGCTGGAAGCATGTGCGGCCCGAGCTTCATGGGCGACTTCAACACAACACAGCACCACATGACGTTTTGCTAGAACACAAGGCTAGTGGGGGTCGAGATAAGTAATACAGCTGGCGTCGGTTTTGCAGCTGAAGAGAATGGGGCAGTCCAGGGGCTCATTGCCAGGTATGGACATGGATATGTAAAGTAGAGCATTGAGGAGTAGCACCTACAAGTACTACTTTACATCAAATGACGGCTGATGACTGGCATGAACAGCCAATGACGCGGTGGCGAGAAGTCTAGTCGGACCTCTCTCAGCTCAGGGTCTTGTCGGGTGGGGTGCTAGCAGCGATGGTCTCAATCAGTTCGATCCAGCAGCTCCGTGGATCACGCTAGGCGCATCATCACGCCAACAGAATCAGGGTCCAGCAACCGACGGTAAGAAAAAAACATCATCATCCCCGGCACGGGCGCGCTGAGAGGCTGGGGCAGTGGGCTGGGGGCTGGAACTGGCCGGGGCGAAACGAGAGCAATCTCGATGGCCTTTGTGAGAGGCAGGTGCACCTAGCGCTGTGTCGACGACGGGTCGCACCGCCCGTTGAGTCGAGTCGCGATGGGTCTGAACGGAGGACAGGATGCGTTTGGAAGGTCGCACTGCCGGCAGTGGGAGAGGCTGTGGGTAGAGGAGAGCAGAGCTAGCGTGTGGAGAGTGAAAGAGCAAGGCGTTATGCCGCATGGAGACTAGCGGGGCCCTTGTCCATGATCACCGATTCAGAGAGGCATCGGGGGTCAGACAACAGACAGGGCCTTCTCTCGTGTCGCATTTACGATAGGGTCCAATTCGGGCGATAGACAAGTGAACCGACGAGGCTCATCGCCGATGCGTCGCTTGGTCCAGCCCCGGGTGCGCCACACCATGTCTTCGTTCCCTCCCAGGCACCTCGATCTCCACGACCTTTCTTGGCGTTGTGGGAATCGAGTACATCGCCATCCTTACCCACAGCTAGATCGATAATCATCATGGCTCCGGATTCAGAGAGCCCAAGAACTGTCTCTTCAGACCATCTGCTTCACCCACAGCCTCCATCCTCCACGCCCTCAGCCCGCTCTCTCTGTCCACCACCACCTGTGCCCGACAGACTCACCTCACGAATCTCCGCTGCAGAATCCCCCCATTGTTTTCGACCGCCGTCCACGACCTTACCTGCCCTCTTACACCTTACCCATCCGGGTGGCGTTCAAACCACAATCCCCACATACCAGTATCCGCCTGCATTTCGATATCGACCGCCCTCTTGCGCATATGGAGAACATCCTCTAACAATAACTCGACACATCACGCCAGCAACCATGAACGACCCTCCAGGCACCATACCGAAGTCTGTCATGAACCACCCTCGTCGCCCCCCCGCCCACAAGTCCGTCTCCCTCCGACACAGCCCTCCAGCCTCTGCATCGGGCCTACAACCCAAGGAACGGAACACGAGCCGCAGCTCCCCAACCCTGGCTAGTGACAAGGCCAACCCGCCGTCGAGTGTGTCGCCGCAGCTTACCTCGCTCAAGAATAGCTCGGGAGAGAGCAGTGATGCCGGACAATGGTTCGAGAAGACGAACAACAGCGCCAAACAGAGCAAATCGACTTTTGTTGACAGTGCGTTGTGTCTGAGTCCTCGAGTCGATGGAGCACTGCTAATCGTCATGCTGTAGATGAGCCGCCTTTTTTCCTCCGCAACTCCTCTTCGTCCGACACACCACCCGACCAGTCACATTCCAATGTTACAAACTCAGCAATGCCATACCGTCCCAGCTTAGGTCATATAGGTACCGACGGCAGCAGTACCGAAGACTTTCGAAGCGTCATCGACGACCTGACCGTAGCAAACAAGCGCCTCAAGCAAAGGCTCAAGAAGTACGAGAAGCTCTACGACGCTCATCTGCAAGACGAGAAGCTATTCGAAGTCAGATTTCACGGTCTACCTGATCACAAGAAGAAAGAGCTGGAAGAGACGCTGCGCAAATTTGCTTCTGAGCTCGATGACGGAACCACCAATGATTACGCGCGCGTGTCGGCGGCCTATACTCCAGCACTCGACACCCACAACACCTCTTCGTCAACATCACGGTTTGCCGAGTCTGGTTATGCATCCTTGTCAGCATCTGGTCAAAACTCGGCGGTAGCCTCAAACCAAGAAAAGGATCGTAAGATGACCCGGTCAGCATACAGCCGCCAGCAACAGAGCATCCAATCATACCTTCATGACATCCCAATGGGGTTGATGCCGAATACCAAAAGTGTCCCAATGACTGAGAAGTCGAAAAAGAAAATGGTCGTTCGGCGCTTGGAGCAAATATTTGCTGGCAAGCGATCAGCGCCCGGATCGCATCCACAGCCAATGCAACAGCAAGAGGTTGCCCAGTCAGCAGCAACGGCAGATCGCGAGCAACGGGAAGCGACTGGCCAGCATTTCAGACCAGAAGGCCAGCGTGAAGCTCGCATCATGTTTGGCCGTGGCGCAGCTGACGAAGATGAGGTAAATCAGAACGAGGCTATCCAAGGACTGCGACCTACTCTGCACATTGAGGAACATGACTTCGCTGGCTCAGGCTCTTCTCCTGATCAACGACCTACTCGTCCACTGGACTTGGACCCTTATCGTGCGCAGATACCAAATGACAACATGACTTACATCCGGCATCTTGGTTTCAGCCCACCAGATATGAACTCTGGAGAAGCCCCACTTGGCCATGGCTGGATATATCTCAACTTGCTTATCAACATGGCACAACTACATACCCTCAATGTTACTCCAGAATTTGTCAAGGATGCCCTACAGGAGTATAGCAGCCACCTTGAGATTTCTCGCGATGGGCGCAAGATTCGATGGAAGGGCGGTCGCGAGGTCACGCAACACAGTGGCGAAAGTTCATCGGAGCATTACAGTAACGCTTCCCCCAACGAGACAGGATCTTTCTCGCCTTTCAAGCGCATGAAGACTGGAGATAGCGGCAGCGGCAGTGATCCCACTGGCTCTGAGCAGGCAAGGCGATTGGCCCGTTATCAGCGCGAGAGAGAACAGAACAAGTTTGCCTACAAGCCACTATTCTTCCACAAGGAAGATTCTGACAACGAGGACGACTTCTACGGCTTTGATGCTGATTCCTCGGCAAACTATTCTCACCAGCCGCAACAGACGGGCAACTCTTCGGGATTCAGTAGCTCAGTTATGCAGAGCTCTTCTTCTAGGCCAAGAAGGCGTGAGAACGGACCCATGATTTTCTACAACAAAGCCAAGTTCTGTACTGACCTTAGTGGTGACAACAACGGGGCGTTTCTCACAATGCCCGGTAATTACCAAACTATCACCAGCCAGCCCCTGGGCGCAAAGTTGAGCTCGTCATCGTTGAACAATGCTGCCACCGAACTTTCAGAGCCACGAGGCCCCTTGGATACCCTGATGATGGAGACTGAGTCAAACAACGGTTCACGCACCGTCTCTAGTGGAGACAACATGAGCTTTTCTCCAGAAGCCCTGAGGGATAGTAGTGGCAACACCAGTCCGGAGCTCATGGACTTTGAGGCTTCTGGTATTGGTGGTGTACAGCCGGAGGACAACTTCTCCATCCATGTTCGTCGCTCGCAAATACCAATAGTACCTTCCCACGTTGCCGCTCGCCAACGAACAAGCTTTTATCCCAAGGCCATTCAAGATGCGCTCCGTTCCGAGCATGACCCAATGGAAAGCGAGTCTCCACGGTCCAGTCCCCAGCGCGTTATTCAAGAGAAGATTCTTTCTACATCGCGCAAGGATTTGCCCAACTCGACTCTACCGCCTGCATCCTTCCTTCCCCTCGACTCTTGTTCCTCAGGCGATATCGATTCTGAATTTGCATCTGACGCTTCTTCTGAACCCGAATCTGATTCCGATTGCCCGGCTACAGCGATGCAGATTCTCAATATTGCGCCTGTTCGCTCAGATCAATCTGAAGCGTCAGACTCCGATTACGAAGATAGCGATGATGGCAGCGTTGACCTGTTGGCCACTGCTCGCCTACAAAATCCCAATGCTGTTAGAGCGAGCGAGCGTGAATACGATGCTGCACTTGCAGATCGCCTCACTGAGGAAATACCTGCTGGTAGCTCAGCAGCAACCGCAGGCGGTGGAAGTGGATTCAACAGTCCTGTCGGTGGTGCCCGTGACGTAGAGAATCGGGTTAGCCGACAAAGTGGATCGAGCAGTATGGCATCTGGTCCCATCAGATTGAAGCGTGCTAGGACCAGCGATTCGACGAACCCGCAACCGACGAAGAGCCCAAAGACCAGAAAGGCAGAGATTTAAAGTCGATTTGGATGACTTTTTAGGGAAATTTGATTGCATTGCAGTTGGTTATCTCTCCTGTTGGAGTTGAAGAGGCTCCGGAGCCAGAGGACGTTTTCTCTTTTCCTGTGCATAGTTTTACGTCTTTGATACCCCTTTTTGTTGCCCGATAGCAGTTTGATACCCTCTTGGGCAACACGAATGAAATTTGCTCAAACACATGTATGTATGCCTCGTCGGGAATCTCGTAGGGCTACACATAATCAATTAACAACTTAACTATGCTATCACGTTGATCTCGTTTTTTTTCTTAAAAAAAATTCAGACGCAACTAAGAATGTGTGTTCGCCAAGTTTGGCAATGCAGAAGTTGGGAGAGTGCCAAGGTAGCTCCTTTTCGGTGCGACATTTCATACCTTGCCTCTGTGATGGACCATCCCCGAGAAACGTAGATTCAAAACCATTCTTGTCTTATACACCTAGTATGTGCTTTTCTTGTCCGAGAATAGCACGTGAGACTCTCGTATTAATTGTCGCACATCGGTAGTAGCTCGGCGCGTCAAGTTTGCACCAGCGGTACGTCATAGTCGCCGATTTCCGTGTCACACCCGCAAGTACCCGGTCCTTGGGACAAGACGGCCCCTAAATAAATTTCAAAAAAAGGGAAAATATTCAATACAATAAGAGATAATGCCAAAAAAAATCTCCGTTTTGAGGCATACCAAACATCGTTCCATGGTGACAATCATGTTGTCTAGTCGCCTGTCCCAATTGCCTTCTGGCGTCAGGGAACTAGTGTCTATAGCCTCGAGAACGGGTGTCTCACAAGTAGTACCATCATGTCGGGCTGGTGGTGCTCTGGTAAGTGGAAAGAGCTTGGAGCAGAAAAGACAGATTACGATGGAGCAATTGAACCAAGACAAAGACAGTATGCATCAACCGCTCTTACATTACAACTATCTACTCCCGTCATCGAGACTGACAAACATATATCTAGGCCGAGAACGTGTAGTCATTCTTGGGTCAGGATGGGCAGGCTTCACCGTTGCCCGCGCTCTTGACCCCTCAAAGTATCAAACTATTGTAGTTTCTCCCCGGTCATACTTTGCCTTTACCCCTCTGCTTGCTTCTACAGCAGTAGGCACACTGGAATTCAGAACTGCACTAGAACCTGTCCGGAGCCGAAGGACCAAAGTGGAATTTCTGCAGGGCTGGGCTGATGATGTGGATTTCAAGAATCGAACCATTACTATTGAAGAGGCGGTCGATGATCCGAAGCAAGGTGTGGCGCTGACGACTGACCGACACGCGGGAAAGACTGCAGAGCAGAGGGCTCTTGAGAAGAAGCAGGAGACCAAAGAGGGCAAAATGTTCGATGTGAACTACGACAAGTTGATCGTTACCGTGGGCTGCTACAGCCAGACATTTGGCACACCGGGTGTCAAGGAACATGCCTTCTTCCTCAAAGATGTGGGCGACGCACGCAGAATCCGAAACCGCATTCTAGCCTGCTTCGAAGGCGCTGCTCTTCCTACCACTCCTGTGGACATGAAGCGTCAACTACTAAACTTTGCCGTTGTAGGTGGCGGACCAACCGGCATCGAGTTCAGCGCCGAACTCCACGACCTGATTAATGAAGACTTGAAGAAGCTATACCCAGAACTCATCAAGTATCACAAGATCACCGTTTACGACGTAGCCGAAAAAGTTCTCCCCATGTTCGACAAGAAACTAGCCGACTATGCCATGCAAAAGTTCAAGCGCGAAGGCATCGACATCAAGACGAGTCATCACGTCGAGGAGCTGCGTGCCGGAGCACCCGTGAAAACGAGTAACTCGGGAAAAGTCCAAGACTCGCACCTATATACTCTCAAGGTCAAAGAACAAGGCGAAATCGGCGTGGGCATGTGTGTATGGAGTACGTCCTTCCTTCCCTACCCTCTCATAGAAGCCCCTTTTACTAACAAATTCCCCTTCTCCAAATAGGCACAGGCCTAATGCAAAACCCCTTCGTCCACACCGCGCTCTCCAGCGTCCGCTCCGCCCCTTCCAACCTCATAACCCCTTCTCCCTCATCCTCTTCACCCTCCTCCGTCCAATGGACCGTAAAAAAAGACCCAAAAACCGGTTCCATAGTAACAGACTCCCATCTCCGCGTTAAACTCGTTCCCGCCGATTCATCTCCCTCTTCTTCCTCTTCTTCATCCCCAGAACCCTCATCTTCCGCTTCCGCGTCAGAAAAAACAGAAGCAATACACCCAGACGTCTTCGCCCTAGGCGACTGCGGCACAATCGATGCAACAAACTATCCCGCCACCGCGCAAGTCGCAAGCCAGAAAGCCGTCTGGCTCGCCAAACAACTGAATAAATCGTCAACCCTACAAAGTTCAGCAAAGGGCTTCACGTACCGCGATCTAGGCACGCTGGCCTACATTGGTAATTGGAATGCACTGTTCCAGGGCGGCGGCAAGTGGGGAGGCAGATTACAAGGGTATGTAGCGTGGATTATCTGGCGGGGAGCGTATATCACGCGAACGGTGAGTTTGCGGAATAAAGTGCTTGTGCCTGTGTATTGGGTTGTGAATTGGGTGTTTGGGCGGGATATAAGTCGATTTTGAAAGTCCCTGTCCTGGTCAATGTAAAATGCTCAAGGAGAAGAAGAAGAAGAAGAAGAAGACAAAAACGGAACAAATTCAATGTTTGCATACAACAACCGGGTATCCCTAAAATCCACTTGAAAAAACAAACAAACGCCAACATGACCGTTTGAAACCCCACAAAACACAAAGCACACATCTTCACTTCCCCCCCAAATACCCCACCACATCCCCCGCCCTCTCCAACCGCGCCCTCGTCTCAGGCAACCCCTTATTCAAAGCCTGCAACCCCTCAACCGCCCTCTCCCAATTCCTCTGCACCTCCTCCTGTCTCACCCCCTTCTCCACACCCGCCACATCACCTTGCCCAACCTTCCCAACCCTCTCCTCAAGCACCCCCCACATCTCCCGCCCCTCCCCCTCCTCCCTCTCAAACCTCTCTTCAAAAGCCTTGGCCGCAACCCCCGGCGTAACCCTCCTATGCTGACTAATCTTGGCAACAAGCGCATCGCGCCTCGCAACCGCATCTCCCAGCCTAGTCCTCAGTTTCTCATCAAACGCCTCAAACTCTTCTCTTTCCACCGCCGTCTCCGCCTCTCTGCCTTGTACATCCATGGCATCAGCGTCAGCGTCAGCGTCGCCGATGATGTCAATCCCGTTTATGCTAATGTTTTGTCGCATGCCGCGTAGTACCTGTGCTACGAACGCGTCGACGAGGTCTTCGACGCTGCGGCGGAGGTCGTCGGGTTCGGCAGGGGCAGAGGGTACGGGAGGGAGGTGCAGGTCGAGTTTTTGGCGGGCGGCGGTCCGGATTTGCGATGTGAGGTAGATGAGGTCTGAGGGGGATTGGAGTTCGATTTTGCGGTGCGACGAGTCCATGGTGAGGAGTGGGACTCGATTTGTTGTGGGATGATGGGGGGGTTGGTAGAAAAGGGGAAAGAGCGTTCTTCGTATAATCTTGGAAAGAGGGCGCTCGCTTTGTTTCGCTTGGGAAAGGTGTGGTTTTTTGCTGGAGAAGAAACGTTTGCAGACTTGTTGTGTTTTTTTCGTGATGTTGTTTGTTTGGCGGTCGGCGGAATATGGATCGCGCTGCGCGACGTTTTGCGGCGGCCACGCTCTAATCGATAAGGGAGACCGGGGGTGCCGAGGTGTGGGGCCAATGCACCCTGAATCCCCATGTGCTGTACGGAGTGAGACAGCATAGCGGACGCACCTGGACAGTTCAAGTATACACAAATGTTTGATTTATAAATGCTTATTTATATTCTTCGAGTTTATAAATGTCTCATTGACAATGAGTGAAGCATCCTGTAACACCGTGACCCAATCCCTCATGTAGTATGCACCCCCAGCGCCTACAACAGTGCCAAACGCCATGCCATTCCAATGTCAACATAATCCCAATAACGCATTGTCAAACAAAATAATGCCAGAACATATATGTACCAAATCCACCCGATTATCACCATCAACATTCAACCCCAAACCTCAGTATGGTGTTGTTGTCACAGCCTCGCGAGTTACCGTGCAGCTGAGAGCATGCTTATGACGGAAACATGTTCTTGACCTCCTCGTCTGTGAGTATGATATCCTGAACAGGATCCTGGCGACACTCGAGGTCATCAAAGTGGTAATCGGCGTAGGACGGAAGGAAGATTTCTGGATACACAGACAGAGGCAGTTAGCGACACATTCACAGCTAATTGCTTCGATGCAAGCGTTTCTGCAGTGTTGAAAGAGAGTGGCATACCCTGGTTCCAATCAAATCCCTGGCTAGCCTTCACGCATGTAATCTGCGGGATGTTAGCTGTCGTCCTGCTTGAAACACGACACAACTGTAGTTGCAGAATGCGGGCCCATACCAAACGAGGACATTCCTCCTCTCCAACATTAATCACCGTATGCTCTGCCTTGGAGAATGTCGCACTCATCAAACTCTCTCTCCGCCTCATGCTGCTCGCCGACTGCGGGCTGTTGGACGGCGATGACGAAGCGGAGCTGCCGTAGGAGCCATAGGAGAAGCGGTTCTCAGTCGGGGTAAACTGGTAGTTGCGAGAATGAGAAGCGTAGCTGGGAGTGCTGGGTGTAGAAGCACTCGAGGACGAGGATGAGTCGACCGAGTGTCGGGAGGCAGCCGGGTGCTTGCCCTTGCGCCGGGGGATAGCAATAGCATTGGATGACGAAGGCATGTTTGGGGGATCCCAGTAGTAAGACGAGAGATATAGCCGTAACACCCGATAGAAAGGGACAGTAGCAATTGTTAGCAAAGAGACGCCCAAGGTATGCGCACAATCATGGAAAGAGAGAGTGGTTGCGAGTGTGTGAGGGAGAAGGAAGAAGGAAAGCACAGGCAAGGTGGACGAGTGTGGAGCGACTTGGTAGTCGACGCAGCCTTGTGTCTGACTCCGCCAACCATACGGCGATGAGACGTGGCAGGCGGCCAATCAGACGGCACCACCTTGCTTCCGCCTGACGATCGGTCCGGGGCAGCAGCAGCAGCGGCGGCGCAGGCGTGGACGTGTGACAGGCACCCGTGCTTGGTGCATGAGGAGCGCATGAGGAGCACACTCATCAGGGTAGCGCCATGCAACTGCAACTTCACCTTGGACCTTTGGCTCCAGTCCTTATCTCTTATCAACAACATCCACCCTCATGTCCGCCGTAGACAACACCCTGCCACCGTCGGCCATGTGGCCCGCTAGGTGACGTAGCGTGTATGCAAGGTCCGTGGACACCCTATGGCCCGTTATCGGCCCACCACCAGGTGCTCCGACATTACATCGACCGACGGCTTGACGACGCCAATGTCCATCTAGTAGTTAGTAGTCGGCTCTGAGTCACCCCGTCATCCATGTGCCAACGACAGTCATCTCGACTAACAAACAAGAGCCCTTGCAGCTCAATTGCATTAAACAACAGCGCATTGGAAACTACGCTGGCCTGACACCATGGTATTTCGTATCGTACATCTGGATATCGCTCGCGCAATTAAAAAACAAACAAAATAAAAACAAGGAAAAATCCATCAAGTCGGTCCTGCCGAAACCCAAACCATGGACTCAAGTTCTACAAACACTACTGACAAGAAAAAAAAATATTCCTTTCGGGTACCCGGACTCCCTTCGGTGCCATCCCACGAAGCGTGTGCAACATGCGTATTAGTAGCGAGAGACTATGAAGGTGTAGGAATCTGTGGAAAAGAAAACACGCACGCAAGGCTGCTTGCAAATGCCGCCCTTTCAAAAACATAACAAAACAAAACAAAGACTACAGCGACCCTCCACAACAAAGTGGCTGATCAAAACCGCCCAAGCTGACGATACGGCACGACGCGTCGGCATCACAGAGGGTATCCTCCAAAAAGCGCACAATCGACTCCTGGACTCCGGCGCCGAGATGCTGATCAATGGGTTTCGTAGACATGGGAAATGTACTCCGACGAGGGCGAAAAGGAGAGCATAAGGATGAGGTGGTTTGGGTGGGGGCGTCAAACAGCGGGGAATACGTAGTGGCAATCGGGGGTATCGTACATGGTTCGTGACATGTGTCGCCCGGGGAGAAGACGAGTCTACCATCCCTTCTTTCGGGCGAAACGCTTGTTGAGGAGGACCAGGACCTTGCTCACGTTGAACTGGACATATTCCAAGTCCAAGTCCTCCTGATTATCTTTCTGCATCTCCAACAGATCGTCCAGCTTGAGATCCAACTCGAGCAGACCGCGGTTGCGGCCCTTGTAGTGGAGCGAAATGACAAACGTACCGGGCAGCGGGCTCGTGAAGTTGAAGTAGATGTTGGCTCTCCTATTCTCCGGAACATTGCTCTTCTGGATTACGCCCTCTCGTTCAAGCTGCTGGTGCGTGAACTTGTACGGGCCCAGGACTTGATGCTTTTGCTGCTTCCTCGTCTTGCCCTCAGACTGACTGCGTACGTTGTGGAGATATGACTTGTACGTGTCAAGCTGGCTGACCAGGAAGCCATTGTGATCGCGGATGGTGCGGAAAACCTCCTCGAGCTTCCTTGTCTCTTCAATCACCTTGTCCTTCATCGAACCCAGGTGGACAAGTTCTTGTTCGACTTCGTCCCGGAGCAGAGAAAACCCGTCTTCCTTGTCAATCACACCAGATTCTTGCAACTGGCTCAAGAGCTCCATGCTGCGGATGCCCTTCTTGACCATGACTGAATCGTTCTTTGTCGTGGCGGCTGCCTCGGCAATCTTGTCCAGTCGCAATGGTCGTCGTGTGATTGATGTGTTTGCAGGCAGCGAACGGAGAATCATGACAAATGTTGATTTGGCCTCCATGAAGAAGATTTCCTCTTGCGTAATGTCGAGCGCAGCTGTGAGGTCGTCAAGAGGCGTCTCCCACTTGCTGAACAGTGGAAGATTGATGGCTCGGTTCTCCTTTCGTGGAAGCTGAGCAGGTGCTGGTCCCAGCTCTTGAAGAATCACACCCAAGTGCGAGCTATCCTCTTTTGCCTGTAAATGGTTAGCATGGGAACAGCCGCTGCCACAATCATCGCAAACTTACGAGTTCTGCTGCATGTCGCTCCAAGAGCGAGTGTGTTGCATACACTTCATTAAGTGTAATAGATAGTTCAAGATCCTTCTTCGACAATGCAACATAGTTATCCATTTCCAAGGTGTCGTAGAAATCTTGGACTTCGCACAGATCAAGCAAGAACTTGTTGATGCGCTCCTTGTTTTGGTGGATAAAAGGCTGCAATTTAACCATGTACGGTTCCTTTGCGTACGAAGGCTTGTTTGCAAGGTTCTGCAGCATCTTTGCAATGTATGTAAGCGTTCGCTTGGGGTTCTCCGCTGGCAGAACATCAATGAGCATGTATGATCTAGGAGTAACAATGGCAGGGTTAATAAAACGCAAGAAAAAGAAGCCACCAATGAGCGTGCAAATCGTCTGATCCTGGGCGTCAGGATACTTTCGTCTTGACAAACTTCGAATCTGCTTGCAAATCCACCGGATGCCGTACGGTGTCTCTTCGAGACCTTTGATAATGGTTGTGAGGAAATTGTTGGCAATCTCCATGAGCATGTTTACTCGAGGTTGGATGATGTTCTGCACCGTCTCGTTCTCGGCAGCTTCTTCTGCCGTAACGCCCTTTGGCATATCCGGGGGCAGAGTTCCTTGGAGTTCGCGTTCAGTGACCATTTTCTCGTAAACCTTCAGGGGGTTAATCTCCAGGTCCAGATCCTTGAGCTCAATAAGCGAGTTGATGCTGTCCTGCAGGACTACCTTGAGGTAGCTCTGACCAGGTCCTCTCCGGGTGTACGTGGTCATCATGCGCGAGACGGGGGTGTTTGCGCGCAGGAGCGAACTATAGTCTGGGGTATTGTCAAACTGGTATGTAAGAACAGACTATAGCATGGTTAGTTATGATCTACCAGAGTCATGTTGCGCAACGTACCTGAAACATGGTCAAGAGCAAATGCTCTTCTCGGCTCTCGTACTGGTTTCCGTAAATTGTGAACATGACTGTCTGCAGTAGCGCATCAATCTCGGCCATGGAGACGAGGCGACACAAGTGCGCAATGTGCCGGGGTTCGGACTGGAGCAAAAATAGCAGGTTGCCATATTTTTGTGTCTTTTCGTCGTTTGGGAAAAATCCTTCTTGGAGTTCAAGGCCGTCTGCGAGATGGTCTGCGACTTCGTTTTGCTGCGCGTATCGTCAGTATCAAGCACGTATACAAGGAAAACCATGGAGACGCACCTCCTCCAGCGCCATGCGATTCTGGATGAGGAGTGCTATCCGCGAGTCGAGATATCGCACATCCTTTTCCAGAACGAAATTCTTCTTGGACTGGGATGAAATCTTTGCCTTTAATTCGCGCAATACCTTCTGTGCTGCTACGAGTTAGCCGGCGAACCAAGACGGAAAGACTTGAACATGGCAGACATACCTCGAGCCAGGTCATCCTCAATCTCCAGCTCCTTGTCTTTTGCCGACATGGACAGATACAGTGCCGTGACCGAGTAGCGCTTGGATTGGCGCACTGAGCGCGAGCCATCGTGCGACGACATTGTGTTCTGGCGCGAGACGGGTATGAAGGACGATGACGACGACGTCGATGCCCGCGAGGGGGCATGTAGCATGGAGACAGCCATGCTGAGCGTCGCCTGGGAGAGAGGGGGTTTGGGGTGCGGTCAGGGCCAGAAAGGGAGGGTGTGTGTTGCGGCGCTAGCGAAATAGCAAAAGCGTGGGAGCAAAGGGGAGGTTTTGTTTGTGCGCCACGCTGGTCCAAGGCCGTGGGCCGGCGTCTGCGGTGGAATTGCAGCGGGAGGGCCCGTCCAGCGAGTCGGCGGCAGCAGGGCTCGGCGATTAATTAGGAGGCAGTGGTGTGGCAGCGAAGGGCGACAAAGGTACAATTATCGGAGAAAGGAGGGGGGAGACGGCGAGGAACAGGCTGCGAGGACTAGTTTACGTGAGATGGGCGTTGGAAAGCGGCGGTGGAGGGCTGGCGAATGGAAGGGCGAGGGAGCCCGAGACGCGAAATGGTGCGGGGGAGCTCAGACGGTGAGTGGTGGACAGAGGTGCAGCTGCGACATTCCAGAAGAGCGACGGCGCGGTGGTGGGCCTGGGCGTAGTATGCTCTGGAGCGAGGGGGGTGAAGTGAAGGCGGCCGACGACGGGTGGACAGGGACGTGTGGCGTGTGCGAGAGTGTGGGTGTGTATGTGTATGTGTGGGTGCGGGAGAGAGGGAGACGGCGGAGGGAGTAGTAAGAGAGAAGGCGCGCGCACACACAGACACAGACACAAGAGAATAGCGAGGGTGGAGTCGAGTGCAGAGTGGGGAGTCGAGGGGGAGGGGTGTGTGAGAGGGAGGGTGTGTGTGTGGGTGGAGTGGGTGTACAGGGTGATGGTCGGGTAGTTGGTGTGGGTGTGGATGTGGGTGTGTGTGTTGCAGGGCGGCTTTTGCAGGTCAAGGACAGCGGGCAGGAGCGATGGATGGGCGGGAAGGAGCAGATGTTTCAGTCGCTCGAGTCGGCATGGGCTGGGTGATGACAAGTGGGCCAGGGCTTTGGGTGTGTGGAGAGCATGCACGAGGCCGCAGCGCAAGTGGGACGGACGGGCGGCCGGCCAAAGGGGTGGCGCTTGTGGATATAGAGACAAGATGAAGAGAGACAGAAAGGACTCTTTGTGCTGGACGCAGCAACTGTTGAGGCCAAAGTCTGGGAGCTAGGGAGAGCTTCACAAGGGGCCATGGCGGCAGGGCATCCATCGTCTGCACGCCCCTTGAGCGCACAACAGGGCCATTCTGAAACTCTGGTCACCTGCGCTCAATTTCCCCTAAACCCCGGCCCTCTGCGCCCAAAGCGGCCAAGGCCCTCTCCAAGCGACGCCTCTCGTTCCTGGCTAGCAGCACTAGCGAGCCGACAAGCCCACACCACCACCACACCCTCATCACCAACTACTGCACTAACTGCACTACCGCACCCCCACCCACCAACATCCTCGCCCGTCATTTTGACTTTCGGCCTCTGTCCGTCAGCTGTCAAGGAACGAGTGGGCTCTGCGCCGACGTTTGTTGTTGTTGCTGCACCTCCTCCTAGTACTTACTTACTATACACATACTTTGTCCACTAATCCTACCTACTACTTACTTACAGTACTTACTTACTTACTAACTAACTAACTACATACTGCCGCTGCCGCTGATCCGTCTCACGCGCCCTCTGTGCGTGGCCCCAGGTTCATGCATCTATCTGAGGCATTGCCCGACTGAGAAACATGCTTACCCACACGCGCCCTGTTTTGGCGTCCAGTCCACGGCAATGCTGCGGCACCATCTGTGGAGGTGGCTACCGCGTCCCGACTGACAGTCTTCCAAGGGTCGTCGCACACGCTGCCGCTGCATGCGTTCTCGCACTCCCACGCCCAAGGTGCCAACATCAGCTAGCCTACTGGCCCCTCGCTATGACCCGACGCCAAACCATCCTGCTTACTTGCCTGCTTGCCCGCTCAGCTCACCTCTGTGTCCCGCCCAGATCCGCGACAAACACCGAACCTTTGTCGTGACACCTGGTGATAAACCATGCTGTCACCGATCGACCCGGCATCTTGATTCAATTCTTTTCGGTCCGATGCACATCTTAACATCTCATCAAGGAGAAACGCGCGTGCCACTACTACCACCACCACCACCTCCACAAAAATCTTACACGAACACCAAGTCTTGCCGTCCGACTGACTGACTGACTGACTGACTGACTGTCATGGCCTAGCCCGTACCACATTCCCGCGACCAATACCACTGCGCCACTTGATTGCGACCAGCGGGCACAAGCTACCAAACCCGCTACGTGCCGACTACATACAGTAGTGTCGCCGCCATCCATGTCTGTACATGCCGACATATGTACATCCGTCTCAAGCATTGTCTGCCAACCTGCCCGATTGCCGGAGCCGCGCCATCACAACATGCATATGCATCTGGCCTTAAAATTACATAGTATAGAGCTCGGCATCGCGGCGCTGGCCAAGCAAGCAGCCTTTTGCGAACCATGGGTCCAGTCTAGAGAGATAAACTCAAGGAAAAAATGATCCCGAAAGCCAATCCAAGCGACGTTTGTGGCACCTCCAATCACCGCCTTCCGTTTTTTGCTAACCGCTATCAAGCCAAATACGTGCTGCGCCCTGCCGACAATAGTATGTATACACGCGTTTATAATGACCACCATGAACAGCGCAAAGAAAAAACCATCGTGAATAAAATAAAATGAAATGAATAAACAACAATCATAAGGGTCATAACAAACATCATTTTTATAAAAGAGGAAAACTCCCCCGCCTGCAAGCCAAACCATGACGCCATGAACACCCACCGCAAAACAAAATACGTGCCAGCCCAAACGGTGATCGGAACAACTCCACACTTGGCCTTGCTTCGGTCAGACTGGGGGGTGGAGGGGAGAGGGGGAGGGGTGTGGGTGGGTGGACGAGCAAGGGCACAGGCACCCAAGCTTGCTGAGTGCGTGCGTGCCAAAAGCGAGCTCGTGGAGGGGGGGATGGTCGTTCTCAGCACATGCTGCAGCACACACAGCCTGTACCTGGGCCCGTGCGCCGCACCCAAAAAGAGCGCAAAGAGAGCGAAAGAGACCAGAAAGAGAGAGAGGAGAGAAAAAAACGAGTATTGGCGATCACCTGCGCCAAACCACTTACTTACTGCCCCCCACATTTTTTGGCCAACCTAACCCATCCACCACATCCTTTCCCACAAAAAAGGGCGCGCACCAGCGAGTCAGGCGTATTAACGCACCACGGCTGCAAGGAGCACGTTCAGCCCGAAATAACTGTGTTTTGCGCCTCTAGCGTTAGCCTTTGAACCTTTTCTTGATCTTGTTGTTTGTGGTTGGTTTTTTTGCTTGGCATCTCTCATTTATTTCCCTTTTTTTCTCTTCCCACGGCAACGCCCTCAGGGAACGGTTCGGTCGACCAGTAGCGTGGGGATATAGTATATGCGCGCACACGCACGCGCTTGCGCGTATATCGTATGTCTTCTATGCGAACTGGTTCCACCGGATAAAAAGATAGGCAAAGACGCATTTTCCGTGTGTTTGGTTCTGCCACTTTGAAGGCTCATGTACGCACACACCCACGCGTGCGCGCGCGCATATACACACCCCGTCTTTTATTGCTCATGGAATCTCCCGTTGGGTTCGGGGTTGCGAGCGAGAGGGGGGCAGGGCAGACGAGACTGGGTTCCTGGCACTAGGCTGTGTTTTGTGCGGACGTTGGGCGAAAAAGAAATAAAACTCCCCGCGAACCTTGGATCCATGTAGCCCTTGCCCGCTGCACCCCCCATGTCGACATGTGACGACATCATTTGCGCGCCGTACAATGGGCCGTGTACGTAGGGTACTCCGATAGACTTTTTGCGAAAGAGGGAAACAAAAAGGGAAGAGAGAGAGAGAGAGAGAGAGATAAAAGACCACTTACACCGATGCTGCAGCCTTCCATTCCTGAAGCGACAAGAAACGCTGTATCTCGGGTGCCGAAGAGATAATCTTGAGCTCCACCCCGACGATAAGCACGATAACGACCAGACGCCCCAGTAGGCTCGGCACTATAGTAAACGCCAGCAGAGGCACCGCCAATATCAGCGGGAACCACACGGCTGCTGACTGATGATGCCCGGCCCCTTGTTCGCCCGCCGCTGCCATTGTTGCCGTCGTCGAAGTAGTAGTAGTAGCCGCCGCCGAGCCCGGCACGGTGACAAGGTCAGACGCGCGCTCCAGAAAGCGACTCTCTGCATAATCAATCGGCTCGTGCTCATCCATCCACTCACGATATCGCGCCACATCGTCTTCCCCGGCTGGACGGAGCTTGCTCGACACATCGCCGAAAGAGGACAGAGCTTTATCTGCGATTCAAGTTAGTAAATGACACTAAGAGAAACCCTCTTCTTTGCGTGTATATAAAAATAAGCTGTCAACGACGATCTTTCTCTTATCCTGTCTCTCATGTACCCCATCTTGTCATGCTGAAAATGTAACAAGCTTATTTTTCCATGATGTAACATGCACATATTCCTGGCAATGCAACTGCAACTTACTGTACTGTTCCAGTTTCTGGAATATGCGACCCAGCAGCTCGGTTCTCTTGAAGTGCGACTCGCCGCCGTACCGCGCGTCGTTTCGTCGAGACGCAGGATACGCGTGGCCTGAGGGATCCTTGGGCGACATTTGCGCAATGCATCGGTCCAGCGTACGCAGCTCTTCTTCAAGCTCGCTCATCTCGTCTTGTAGGTGCAACAGCACCCGGTGATTTAGGTGCTCAAACTTACGGTACACGGGTACGAGGTTGACTTCCCGTGCTGTCTCACCTTGCGAGGGTGCGCTGAGTTCGTTCGCCAGAAGCTCATAGCCTGTTAGAGCCGGCTTGGTCTGAGTAGATGCCGGGCCGTGTTGCTGATAAGGTTGCGCTTGGGCTGGATGAGGTGAGAACGGCTGTGGTATCTGTTTGACCAGACTGTGTGGATATGCGTGAGCGACTTCTGGGGATTGGTGTGGTGCATAGCCAATGGCCAATGGGGCTGGAAACGTGTGTATAGGCGACCAACCCTGTGGTGAGTTTGCTGCACCGTTGCTTATAACTGATGGAGATCCGCCAGAGTATACCTGAGGACTGTACATGGGCGTAGGTGGATAGACCTGGCCGGGTGTACCTCCATTGAATTGGAATCCCTTTTGTGGTTTGGGGTTCTTCAATATGTGATTGGCTAGCTCTCGCTCCTGTTGCTTTAGGCGTCTGGCATGAAGGTCGCTACCGCGGGATGATGTAGATGGCGCCCGGGGTGGAGAAACCTTATTTGTGACCTTTTTAGACTTTTTAGACAACTTAACGCTGGGTTTGGCCTCTTCTTCACTTTCCGTACAACTACCTTCACTCTCTCCGCTCTGGGCGACTGTCTCTTCGTCTTCATCCCTAGGCCCATGCACAAAGCTGCTAGCATATAGTGGCTTTTTGAACTTGCGAAACTCTTGATGAGGAAGCTGAGACACCATTGGGCTGGATTTTTGTTCTAATGTTTGTGAAGGGATTTCTAATCCATTGGAATCTGTTCCTGCTGCGGATGGGTGCTTATCGCTCAAGTTGGAGTCAGTCAGAGGCGGGGAGGGCAAAAAGGAAGGAGCACTGATCGACGGAACGAAGCCCTGCAGGTATGCCGTTGTAGGATTCTCAGTGTCATTATCCGGCTGGAGATACTTGAAGACATCTGATTCAGTGGCACTCATCATGGAACTAGTAGGACTTTGCCTCTCCGTAGTCATCTCGTATTGGTATGGGTAGCCGTCGTCCTCGCGGGATTTCTGCGTCACTGTTGAGTTACTTCCACTGGAATTGCTCGATTGCTGTGACACGCTCGAGGCTGACGATGGTTCGGACAGTTCGGCGAGCTTCCCACCGTGGCGGTGGAGAGAGCTATGTTTACGTTGTACGCGTGAGCGACCTGCAGCACTGTCTTCTGTGTGTCGCCGACGAAGCGCTCTGGGCTGACCTGTAGAGCTGACAATGGAACTTCCTCGACGTCTTGATTGCATGGTGGTCTTTTTCTCTCGTATTTGGCCGAGTCTGGGTATATATCCCACGGTACTTCCCTCTTCGTCCAACTCTTCTTGCCCGCCACGCAGCGTAGGTGACAATTCACCCTGGTGTGAGTCGCGTCTTAAAAGTTTCTTGAGAGTCGTGCGGGCTGCTTTGTTCTTCTTGTCGTCTTCG